CCCTCAGCTACTGCTCCAGCACCACGCCTTCCTGACTGCCACCATGATCTCTGCTGTGATGGTCATGGACTCACCTTCTGTAATCGAGCTCCGAATTAAATGCCCTTTTCTTTTAAATAAGTTGCCTCAGTTGCGGTGTCCCTTCACAGAGATAGGAAAAAACTATGACAACCAGACTTTCCACTCTGAGCACTCTGGTCCTGGTTTGATTTGGTATTGTCTGAGGCTAATGTGGCTTTCCTTTGTGTCTGACTACATCACTGACCATTTATGCTCAAGAAAACTGAACAGACAAATTAGTTTTAAAAAGCAATGCATACAATAGAGTTCAGGATCTCAAGTCAGTTATATAACAATTGAAAATTAATCCAAATGCTAGCTTTTCTTTTACTAAATTAAAAGCTTGCAGACATTATCAAAGATTTCTCCCAGTTCAACATAGGATTAGAGCACACACAGCTTTAAGTATCTAATTATATGCAATCCCTAGAACCTTTACCCATATAAATCATGGAAAAGTTTCCTGTCAAGGAGTCTGTGCCATTCAACACTAATTCTATACTAAAGTTGTAGCAGGCAGAGTCCAGCGCTGGATAGAAACATTGATGAAACAGGGCCTCTCTTCTCTGTTACTGCAGCTATCCAGTCTGAGCAAACTTCCAGGGGAAGTCCGCTGCCCCTCTCCTCTCCCATTTTACCGTAAGAATGCTGGGATTACAGACACATACCACTGAGGCTCGGTCCAGTTTTTATGTGGATTCTGGGGATCTGACTCATCATCAAGTCAGCAAATGCTTTTGCCTGCTGATCTATTTCATGGGCCTCTTAAACAGCATTCCTGGTGCAGGAAATCAGAGAACAAATTGATTGCTAATTCCAGGGTGAAGAGAATGGAGTTTGTCAGTAATTTTGATTGCCTGGGATGCTTTTTAAAAAATAAGCCCGCTGTTCTACTTATTGTGTTCCTATAGTTTAATATGCATCAGAAACTATGTCTCTTGAAAATGGCTACTTTAAAGCATACAAAGAGGACATAAAACATTTCCCAGTTTTTGTGTGGTTTAGCTGGTGTTCATCTTCAAATGCAGATAAAAACAGAATAAAGGAAATGATTTGAAATTATCAAATGAAAGATAAAGTCTTTGAAGAATGTGCTGTAGAAACAGTATGTTTGCACGTGGTGGTGGTGGTGGGGGGTGTGATCCCACAAAAAGAACATTGACTTATCAGGGAGAAATTTTCCTCTTTGTGTATGTGCTCATGTTTGCATATGCACATGTAGGCCAGAGGTTGACATTAGGTGTGTTAAATTGGAGGTGTGTGTGTGTATGAGTGTGTATGTGTGTGTGTGTAGATATAGTGTGTGCATGTTGTTGTTTCATTTTCTTGATCACATATATGTGGAGGTCACACAAAAGTCAATGCATAGTACCTTCCTCTCTCGCTCTCTGCCTTATTTTCTGAGATGAGCTCTCTTACTGTGCCTGGGTCACTAGTCTGGCTGTCCAGTGAACCCTGGAGTCCACATTCTTCAATTCCCAAGTGCTGGGGTCACAGGTTTACACCACCATGTCTGGCTTTTATGTGGGTGTGGGGATCTGGAGTTGTGTCCTCTTGCTTGTATAGCAAGCACTATACCCATGGAACCATCTTCCAAGTCTTCCACATCCCCTAATTTGAAAACCCTGAACTAAGTCCTCACCCATTCAACAAGACTAACTGGTCAGCAAGTGCCTGTGGCTGCCTCTCTACAACTGAGACCATACGTGGGTGCTGAGGATTGAACTCAGAACCTCAGGGTTAAATGGCAAGCACTTTTCCAAATGAACCGTGTCCCCAGCCCTTGTTAAATTCTGAATTAGGCCTGGATGTTTTTTTTTTTTCTTTTCTTTTTTTTCTTTTTTCTTTTCAAGGCTCATGATCTCAGATCATTTAGTGCTTTAGAAATGTACGGGAGAAAATGATAATTTAAAAGTCTCAGGAATCACCAGGCATTGTGGTGCATACCTTTAATCCCAGCACTCGAGAGGCTGGGCAGGCAAATCTCTGACTGTGAGGCTAGCCTGGTCTACAAAGTGAACTACACACACACATACACACACACACACACACACACACACAAAAAAAAAAAAAAAAAAAAAAAAAAAAACCTCATCTCAAAAACAAACAAACAGTCTTAGGAATCAAAAAATTCCCCTGACTGAGAATAGTGTGTATTCATTAGAGATGAGACAAAGAACATTTCCAGTTTTATCTTTTTACCAAAGACTAGCAATGATTAGTAATTGGTTGTATGTGTCCCTCTATGAATGAATAAATATAACCTCTGCTTTTAGGAATAATAATCTGAGTGAAATGTGAACTAATTACCAGTTATGATGAAGGTACAGCTCTTCATTGGAGCAGCACAGTGGCGCTCCTCTGGCTTGCTGACTGTTGACATTCCCTTACAGGAGGGGCTGGAGAGGGTCATTGAACCCTCACCTGAGTACCCAGCCATTCCTTCGCAGTTTCATGCAATTCTGCCCTCATTGCAATTGGCCTTGGGGTGGGGGGTCTTGCAAGGGCTAGAGCACATAGGCTGGGGAAGTTTAGGGGCAGGGTTTCCATCCATGCAACCGTGGGGGAGACATCATCCAATGAGGATGCTTCAAGTCTCCCATGTTTTTGCCTGCAACCCTCATCCACTGTTCTGTCTGTAAGCCTAATAAACTCACTGTGTTTTCCCCAGGACTGGTTTGTCCTTGGAACTGTAGGGGGACAGGAGGCCCTGCTTAGTGTCCCCACAGGGAGATAATCCTCCAAACACATGAGCAATAGAATCTTCATGTTTTTATTAAAATGCAATCCTACTGGATTCTAGTGCTAGAAATTACTAAATATTGCTAAGAAGGCCTGAATAAATACACAGATGTGCTGTGTTGGTGGACTGAAAGATATTGCTAAAATGCAAGTTCTTCCAAGTTAGTCCCTAATTTAACATAATTCCAATAAGAATGTCAACTTGGATTTTGTTTAGAAATTGACCGTTCCACTTTGTGAGAAAAAGCAGACCACTTAGATAGCAAAATTCATTTTGAAAAGTACTGCGCACATGGTGATTACCTGTCTGCTCTCCACCTCCATGCCGCTTGCTGGTGGATCCAAATGGCAAGTCTTTCTGCTACACGGCACAGATTAGTTCTTCTGCAGTAGTGAATTGTAAGATACCTGTTGTTTTCTTAACTCTTTTAGTCGGCTACAGCATTATTTATTTCTCAACAGGTTGACACAAGCATAATCCTAACATTAAAATTCACAGTTCAAAGCAGGTTTCACCATGTATTTGTGTCTGGTCTGCAGTGCCCTCTGTGGTCAAAGCTGGTTCAGAACCCTAAAATCCTCCTGCCTCTCTTTCCTGAACATTGGGGTTACAGATCTGTGCCACCAGGCCCAGTTTAAAATTCATCATTTTAAATAAAAGTGTAGTTTTCTGAGTTGTGCAGCTGATTTCCTTTTGCAGATCGCATGACCCAATGTTTTGACTTCGAGTTCAGGTTTTGTATAATGTTACACGGTGGAGTTACGAGGTGTGCAGTCTATAGTCTTTGTGACTAGCTTTTTTCACTTTTTAAGATTCAGCCATATTACTGCAAGTGTCCCCAGTCTGTGTTTGTGGTGGCTTCATGCGTTAAGTTGCCTAAGACTAATTTCCCAGAATTCTTTGTGTGTGATCTGAATGGAGACACACATTTCTTTTATTTTCTCTGCCAGGACTTCTCTAACTCGTGTGTGCTGATTCAAATGGATGATGTGGGGCAGCAGCACCTTTTTTTTGGGTCCTCCTTCAGCATCTAGGATTCCTGAGTCAAGGCATGTTTGGCAACACATGGCCAAAGGCAAGTGGCAAAAGGCAACAGTATTGCCACAGAATATGACGGCATAAGGCTGGAGGCACAAGAAGTACCATTCACCCAAGTCCATCTTCACGGGTGTCAGCACATCTTTGCCCTCCTCTTCGCATCTGCCTTTCCTTAGCTGCTACCTCAGGGACCTCCAACATTGGATGCAAAGACAAAGAACCTGCCCAGCAATCCAACGAGTGAGATGTCAGACCCTTATATAGAAATATGTGCACATGCACACACACTGCATGCGTGCTTGCCACTATCCTAGCAGCTTTGTTTCTCTGAACACATCCTTTATATTTGAGGTTTATACTATGTAAATGTATAATTTATTTGTCCATTTGCTAGTTGAAGGTCTTTTATTTTCAGTTTGGGACAATGAATAAAGCTCCCTTGAACAGTCACATACAGATCTTTGCGTCAATACATTCATTTAAAATATGCTCTACTAGGAAAGAGCTAACCGTCACATGTAATTGCTTCAGAAGTGGGAAGTGTTGCTATACATTCATTTAAAATATGCTCTACTAGGAAAGAGCTAACCGTTAGTGTAATTGCTTCAGAAGTGGGAAGTGTTGCTAAGTGTGTCTGATGTTGGTATTTTGCATTTTAAGCCTTTATGACCATAAGTTTAAAAAATACTAACATTTTTAAATGCACATTAAAATTTTTCGTTTTGTGTTTGTATGAGTATGGATGCTGTGAGACACAGCATGCACATGGATGTCAGAGACAACTTGTGGGAATCTCTCCTCTATGTGGGTGCCAGTGGTAGAACTCAGGTCATCAGGCCTGGTGGTAAGCAACTTTCCCCACAGAGCTGTCTTGCTATCCATGTATCTCAAACTTAAAAAGCACTTGAGAGGCTTATTGGTCAAGAGCACTAGCTCTTTCCAAAGGACCCAGATTCAATTCCCAGCAGCCAAATGGTAACTCACAACTGTCTGTTACTCCAGTTCCAGGGGATCCAACACCTTCTTCTGGCTTCTGTGAGTACCAAACACATGCATGGCAAGCAGATATACACAGGCAAAATACTCACAGACATAAAATGAAATAATTAAAAAAAATAAAAAGCAAATAATCATAAGTAGAAAGCTAAAGCTCTATCAATTTATAATCTAATGTCAAGTTTTATTCACTTTTTTTCTTACAGTATGCTGTCATTCAAAATATACTTCATCAGTAATTCATGCACACAATAGGCACTCTATAATTTTTTTTAATAATTAGGTATTTTTTTTAGAATGACTAAAAATCCTGATGTAAAATCCCAATTGGGAAGTGCATAATTCCATTGTAGACAAAATATATAACTTTACAATAAACGTTTTTTATAAGAATTTGCCCCAAAGAGGGAACACTTAAACTTGAACATTAAAAACAAATGCAAAACGCAAGATGAAACCTAATACTAGATTACCCAGACGCCACCTGAGTACTTGAAACTCACAGACCAAGGGCAGCCTGCACCCTCACACTCTCAAGGTCAGCTGATGTGTCTAAGAAAGTAACCCTGTGCGTTGCTCACTTGAAGGTCTACACAGATCTACACAGTATCTGGGGAAACCCTCGGCTGCCTTTTTGTGAACACTGAAAAGAGGTCAAATATACTTTTTACTTTCAAATTGAAAAAACAAAGCTTCACATCTCAAGCAGGAGGCACAAAGCCACTTTTCTAGGAGCTGTGTTAAATTCTGGCCAACACTTCAGAAGAGAGCTCAAGAACCTGCATTGGAACTTACAGCAGCTATTTTCAAGGCCCTGGGTGCTCTCCAGCCAAACCCACTGTGACCACACATGAAGACAAGCAGCTTATACTTTGTAACTTGTCCAAACTTGAAAAATTACAGGGAAAAGTTAAAACTAACCAAATGCCTAGAGAAGTAACTTTGAAAATGCATAAATATGAACAAATATTCTATGGCTAAAAGATGTCTACTATTTTTCAAAAATCACAGAATTCTATAAATATTTAAATACATGAATTACCTCAATATAGAGAACTGTATATAAAATATTGAGTGAAAAAACAAAATTAAAAATATAAAATCATTATAACCATGTAAAGTTAAATATATTATATAACCAAAACCAAGGTGAATTTAGATTGACAGTACTAAATATTAATTTTTTGGTTTTTTTTTTTTGAGATAGGTTTTTCTGTGTAGCCCTGGCTGTCCTAGAACTCACTTTGTAGACAAGGCTGGCCTTGAACTAAAGATCTGCCTGCCTCTGCCTCCCCAATGCTGGGATTAAAGGTGTACACCACCGTGCCTGGCTTAAACTCAAATGTTCATTAGAGACTTTTCTATGTTGCTTAAGATTATAACAAAAGAAAAAATAGGGTATTTTAGATAAAACTATACTCAAATAATAAATACTGGACTCTGTGTGAACTCCTAAAACAAGAGATTCTAAACAACATGAACTCTACATTTCAAGTGTCTCTTAAGGTAGCTGCTTTTGATGATCTCCATTTTATAAAAAGGAGTGGGCAATGTGTACACTGGTAGCTGCCCCTCTTAAACATTACAAACCTTAAGCACTGACAAACTAAGAAAATTCAAATAGCATGCCAACAAAACTGTTTACTTACTCTGTTTTCTTTCTACAAAAAGCCACAGACAGGTTTTAAAAAACTAACTCTATATACATATTTTACATGATATATATTTATACTATAAATATTTAAAGAATGGCTTTTGTGTAATTGCTTATGTCCATATGTATCTTATTAGTTTAACTGTAAGGTATGTAAATACAATCTTTCAGATTTGTTATGGAAAATTATTTCTACAAGGTTTAGAAAATGATTAATTTCGTGGATAAAACATAGCATATTTAGAAGTCCGAAAGCCAAGCAAATCCCTTATTTCATTTCGGAATTTTGACAGGTCTTGGCGCAGTTCATTGAGATTCTCCACCGTTGCCTGGTCTGTACTCTGCATCTTCTGTCGCATAGACGTCAAGTAACGGTGCACGAGGCAGCACATCACTTTCTGGTAGTTCTCATCTCTCTTTTGTTTCAAGTTTCTCCACTCCTTCAAAACAAGCAATTACACGGTAATAATGACAGCAGAACAATGTATGTGCAAGTACATGCATATATGTAAAAGAAAACATGTATATATGCTCACATATAGACATGTATTTGCAGTACTAAGGAATGAGCTCAGGGCCACATGCAGGCAATCAGGCAAATGTCTGCAATCAAGTCATCCTCCAGCCTCAGAGACAATATTTAAATGAGGTAAAATTTAAATATATTCACAGATACACATTTTCAATGCATTTAGGGGACATTTTACTTTGGTAAAAATCATAGTCAGTACATGTTTTAAAAAGTATAGCCTGTATATCTGTTTCATTCACTCAACTGTAGGCCAATTACATGGAGAAATTTAGTCTTTGTAATGCTCAATCTACAATAGAGATTCACAAATTACAACCCCAAGTCAATAGCCCACTTCCTGTCTTTCTTTCCTTATGAGCTAAGAATGGCTTTACAAATGTATATCTGTAATCAGTTTTATAATGGACAACTTGATTTAACTCTAGTTAAGCAAAATTTTAATCCTCCCACAGGGAATTGTTTTCCCTAGTAATTTATTACCATTACTGCTACTTATTGCTATTTTTAATTTCATCTACAAGTGTTTTGGAAAATTTTTCTCTTATATAACTTCTTAGATGGTGTTTTTGTTTTGTTTGGCTTGCAAAGTGTAAACTAGGAAACTTACCAACTCCTGGTTTACAATAAGTATACACTGGATAAGAAATAAACTGAGTAACTTTCAAGACTCAAAAACAATATGAACTAATAGTTGTGCTTTAAATATATAGTGAAAGACTATGTGATAAGAGTTCATGTATTGGGGAAATTTAATAACTAAGAAAAGAACCAAAACCAACCCTCAAATCCTTAGTTTTATTTCTTATTCTCAATTATTTATTGAATCGTTATATTAGCTACTACAGCATGCATTAAGGATACAGTGGAAAATATGTCGGTATAGCCCTTATCAACCCTGCTTTAAGAAACCTGTGCTTTAAGAAACATCTGCTGGTTTTTAACAAAATCTCAGTTGTTTGATTTTACCAAAAGGACTTGGGTCCAGATGCTGGGGTGGAAACCTCCTAGCTCAGAGAGGCAGAGAAATCACCCATATGGCCTTCCTTCTCAGAAGCCCTTCCCACTTTCTCCTACAATGTTGCAAACAAGACTTCTCAACCTTCCTGGGCGTCTCTCTATTTGTCCTGCTGACTCCCTCTTACTCTCTCTTTTTTTCTTAATAATGCTATGTTCACTTCCTGTCAACTGATTGCTTGCTCTGCCTCTTGACCTAAGGCTGACTTTATTTAATCCTGTTTACAATATTCAAGCGGAAAGCTCTTATGTTAAAGGTGTGTGCCAGGGCTAAGCCACACCACAACTAGAAACAGTTTAGTAAATAATGCAATCTAGGGGTGTGATCAATCACAGTGTGATCAAATATTCTGCAACACACATCTGAGCTGGGCATGGTGGCATATACATATTATTCCAGCCCATGGTAGACAGACAGACAAGAGGATTGCAGCAAACTGAAGGCAGTCTGGTCTACATAGCAAATGCCATACCAGCCACAGCTCTATAGTCAGTAAGACTCCATCCCTTCCCCCAAAATTAAAACAAAGAGAAAGTAAAAGTGAAATTAGCAACTGTAAAACTGTGGTGCAATTCAAACCTCTAATTTCTCACCTTCAAACTGTTCTGCCTTTTGACCTTGCCTTTCGATGTATGAGAGCAAACCCACTTACTGAGGCTACTGATCATATAGCAGATAGTCTTTGGTGAAGGAACAATGTTGAAAGGTGGGGGCAGTGTGCATTTGTCATCAAAGTAGCTAAGCCATAGCTTTGCTCGAGCAAACTTCCATTCTTTATCCTCATGATTCTACAGGTAAGGAAAAATCAGGATAGAATAAGAACATAAACACAAACACAGATGCTATGGACAGGTTGGGGGAGATATTAATTAAAACTGTCTAAATGTCACCACACCTTACAGATTAAAAAACTGGTCAAAGATGTACAATTATTAGACATTGCATTTTAAAATCTATATTTATTTTTAAAATGTTATTCCTTAATTCTGCAATCTTCCATTATTTGATTTCATACATTTCATGTGCTTTGGAGAGAATATAAAGCTTTGGAAGAATACTTACTGCTATCAACTGAAAGCTTTTGTGAAGCATGGCTACCAGCAGCTTCGTAAGCACAATCACAACCACGACGTTGTATGTTCCAACAATCACAGCTCCAACGAAGGACTGCAGCTCATCTCCATAGCTAAACCTTGTGACAAAGATGGCCACATGTGCTAAGGAGAAGATGTACCAGAACAAAGCAAAGCAGGTACCAATGAACCTGTAAGGGCAAATACATTCTGTTTAAAAAGGAAATTAATTAGCAAGAACAGATAATGCATTTATATCAAAGTTACACATGTGAACCTTTAATAATCTTGCATAATACATTGTAAAAAAAAATAACTTTATTGCTTTATTTTTATTTTCACAGTACATACAGTCATATTTCAAATGTTTTTGTTTTATGTGTGCACCACATGCATGCTGGTTTCCACAGAGGTCAGAAGAGGGCACCAGATCTCCTAACTGGAGTTGTGAGCCACCATGTGGGTACTGAAAACCAAACCCAGGTCGCTGTAAGAACAGTAAGTGCTGTAATCCACTAAGTCATCTTTCCAGCCCCTAAAGTCTTATTTTAAATGAGGAAACACACTCAAAAATATTCCTATTTAACTTTCCGCTGCCTTTCTAGTCTCAGCACTGCAGTCCATGGGGTATCTAGTTAGATTCTGCCAGTCCTTCACCTCAGCCTTCAGATGATTCTCATTCTCAGTAGCCCCAAATCAGACTGTAAGGTCCAACATGATCACCCCTATTACCCATCCATCCTGGACAACCCAGAAACCTTATTCTTTAAATGAGAGGACACACAAGGTACCTAAAGAATTGTTGGCACATAATAAGAACATGACTGATGTGAAGTACATACGCTTCCAAATTTTATTTAAGGATGGAGCGAGTAAGACTGGGGATGTAAGCTTTGGTGTTTAGCACTTGCTTAGCACACACAGCCCTGGTTTTGATCCCCAGCACTAGGAAAGGAACCTGAAGGGAGGTATTCCGTCTACTTTATAGTGGCTGTCCCATTCTTTATGATCCACTGGCCCTTTAGTTCTAATGATTCTCAATTCTAATGACTTCTCAAGAAATGCTGAAAACATGAATGCTCTGGGTTGTACCAGGAACCAACAGAAGCTACAGGTATTTAACAGTTTAGAGGAAGAGATGCTGAACACTCTAATGTATGGGATGGCTAAAAGAAATTTCCCAAAGTGCTCAGAGTGTAAATTTGTCAAGAGTTCTGTGCAGACAGATTTCAGTAGAGAAGATACATGTAATGATTGGATCTACTACTGAAGATCCTACAGGTAAAGATGATGAAAAATGAACATTTGTTAAAGCTTGCAGACATTTAAAAAGGATTCTTTAAAGAACAATTAAAGTCTCATTCATGTAATGACTATCCCATACAGAACTCAGTAGGAGAGAGTCCATCTAGTAAAATCTGAAGGTACTCACGAGTGGAAGGTATCATTGCTTTGTTGTTCACAGAAGATGCCAACACAGTCCTTCTGCTCTTTGGGAGTGTACCCCTTGTCATAGAGTTGTGTCAGTCCAATTGTGAAGGAAAACAGAACAAGAAGGAACATCCCCAGAAATTTCCCAAAATCTTGTAACATCTGTCCCATTGAAATCTGTGGATATATCACATGGTGAACATTAAAACTGTAGTGAAAACTATATATTAGATATGAAATTACGCAGTAATGAAAGGAAGACTGACACAACAGTCACAAGTCATACTTATTGTTTCACCTTGCTATGAGCATCAAAACTCCATCTGCAGGAAAAACCAAAACCAAAACCAAACCAAACCAATGAACCCAACCATCTTCCAACAAGCTATTCTAACCAGACCAGCACTGTGAGAATTAGATGGATAGGCCTTGCCAGACGAGGTCTTCAAGGTCTTAAAGTGTAGGGAGAATAGATACATGGAGAACTTAACCTACTCTTACTATTCATTATCATTATCATTTTGGTTGTTGCTGAGACACAGAATACTCCATGATCAATCTTGCCATAAGACTCACAATCCCCCTGCCTCAGCTCTCCATATGCTAGGATCATCACTGCTGGTAACACAAAGATTGTTGGAAGGGGATAAAGAAGTAACTCTGAAAATCTTAAAGGAAATTAAATGCTTATATTTATGTGGCTTTTTAAAATTGTTTTGATTTTTATATTTAACTTCTTTATTGACATCATGCACCTCCTGGTTCCCCCATATCCTCTCCCTCATCCCCGCTGTGCTCCTCCCTGCTCCAAATAAAGCAAATCAAAGGAAGCAAGCAGCCAAACAAAAGCAAAAACAAAATAAAAAACCTAGAACAAAACAAAGTAAAACCCACGACAACAGAAAAATCTCTTTGCTTCTCATTCTCCCCTGCCTCTCCAACACCTCTTCACTTGTCCTGGTGGTGTTGGGAGGCTCAGTGTGCCACACACCTCTCTGTCCCATTAGTTTCACTGGCAAATGTGGTTTCTTAAAGTTTACAAATATTAAACCATTTCAAAATGAAGCATTTCATCTGATTTTGTAACTAATTCTCAACTAACTCCTGAAAGGACAGCATCAGCATCCAGAACTGTTCTATTTTCTTTCCAAGAGTGAGCATCTTTCCCTCACTTCCCTTATGTGTGCAGGCTACTCTAGCACTAAGAGTTAATAATGACTATCTCTAATACATTAGCATGGGGCAATGAGAGGCTTCATTCAAGCCTAATTTTATTTTCTTTCATACTCTTCTAATGTCTGAAGATCAGGTAGTTTAATACATCTTGATTTATTTTTTTTATGTTGGAATACTTGTGTTTTGTTTGTTTGTTTGTTTGTTTGTTTTCTGAGACAGGATTTCTTTGGGTATCCCTGACTGTCCTGGAACTTGTTCTGTAGACCAAACTGGGCTCAAAATATGTGAGAAAGAAAAGAAATGTATTTTCCTTCTTCTTCTTTTTTGTTTTTTTGAGACAGGGTTTCTCTGTGTAGCTCTGTAGACCAGGCTGGCCTCGAAGTCACAGAGATCTGCCTGCCTTTGACTCCCAAGTGCTGGGATCAAAGGTGTGTATTTTCCTTCTTAAGGCACTAGTAGTAACTTTAGTGGGTCACTCAGGAAAACAAAGCCATTCACTCAGACTGTGAGTATTCAGAATATAATCACACCTAAACCAGCCGGGAATGTACTAAGGCAGTAATAAAGCAACGGCTTTTGGCAACTTCCAGAAGAAAGTTCTAGTACTATTCACTTATCTATAAATAGAGTTTTTTGAAAGTAACCACAAATAGTGATATAATCTTAATTTTAAAAATAATTTTAATTAACACAACTAAATTAAAAAAAAAAACAGAAATGTAACCAACTTGAATATCAAGGTGAGTTAATACAGGAGGGGAGGGGCACCAGAAACTGGTATCAGATTTACATCATACAGAACTAAAAATAGTACACTGGCTATCACAGCAGTATCACAGCACTGGATGGAATATAAACATGCACGTGATAGGTAAGCAGGCAAAAACAACAATCTTCTTATGGATGGAGAGGTCATAAGCAGTATGCCTTTGTAAATACCATACTATCACGGAAATGAAAAAGAGAATTAAGTTATCAACACTGAAGTTTACAAAGTAGTTACTATTAGTGCAGACTGAGGAAAAAAACGTTCTTGGCTGTCAGAACAATGGAAATAGAGCCAGGAACAGTACAGCACACCAGAGGTTGAGGCAGTAGGACCATGAACTTGCAAGTCTGGGAAACAGCAAAACCTCTAAGAGAGAGAAAAGAGGGCTGGGGACATGGGTCACCAGTAAAGTGCCTCCTACAAGTGTGGGGATCTGAGTGGGGATCTCCAGTACCCATGTAAAAATTCCAGGTGTGGTCATTTGCAAGGAAGAGAAAGAAAAGGAGTTGGACTGATCCCAGGGCTCACTGGTCATACATTACGGGCAATCAATGAGTGTCAACTTCAGTGAGAAACTCTGCTTGAAAAGATAAGATAGAGAGCAACCAAGGAAGACACCTGAAATCAACCTCAGGCCTCCATAATATGTGCACATGTGAATGAAAACACACACACACAGAGAGAGAGAGAGAGAGAGAAAGGGGAGGTCATAGGGAACTACTATGAACAACAAACTAGCAAGATAGCCAGATTATAATCTAGCAAGAATAAGTCATGAAGATATAAAGTAATATAAAAATAGAATCAATAATCAAAAGTATCTTAACAGGGATCAGATGGCTTCAGTGAAAAAATATGAAATGTTTTTTAAAATTTAATACAAATCTTTCTTAAGTATCTGGAAAACACTTTCAACTCATCTTATGAGGCCAATGACAAAAAATATTGTTAATATCATTGCCAATAGCAGACAAAGACTATAAGAAAATAGTGCTATAGGCTTAAATAACCCTGAAACATACATACAAAAATCTTTAACAAAATAAGTGCCAGTGAGATGGCTCAGCAGATAAAGGCACTTGCCACCCAATCTGACAACTTGAGTTTGGTCTGTAGGACTCACATGTCATGGCACATGCATACTGTGATGACTGAATAATGACCCTTAGGCTCATTTCTTTGAATGCTTATCCACCATGGAGTAGAACTGCTTGAAAGTATTAGAAGGTGTGGCCTTGCTGGAGGTCTATCACTGGGAATGAGCTTTGAGGCTTCAAAAGCCCATGCCAGGCCTAGTCTCTGTCTCTCCCTCTCAGCTGTCTCCTCTCCCCCTCCCTAGAGCCCTCCCCCTGCTTCCCCTCCCTGTCCCTGCTGCCTGTAGATTAAGATGTAAAGTTCTCAGCTCCAGGAGCATGTCTGCTCACACACTGCCATGTTCCCCATTATGATGATAACAGAGTAACCCTCCAAAACTGTAAGCAAGCCCCTAATTTCTTTTATAAGTTTTGCCTTGATAGTGGTGCCTCTTTACAACAACAGAACATCGACTAAGGCAGTAAGCATACACAAAATATTAAATAAATGTAATAAAATGTATAAAGGAACAAAGTTTCTAACCAAATATAATCAAAGTAAACTCAATGAAAAAGCACATATGCCTCCCAATTAGGATTTATCTTTAGGATACAAGAAAAAAAAATAATTAATTGGCTATATCAGCAAATTAATGAAATGAGATAATAGTTATATAATAGGGTCAATAAACCCAGAAAAAGCATATGATGAATTTCAATTCCCTTTTTTATAACAAAAAAAAATCTATTTCCAACAAAAACAGAAGGACATTAACTGAACACAATAAATACCATATAGGGAAGCCCACAGCTAACATAATTAGTGAAAATCTCACTTTTTATTAATATCAGCATCAGCCAAATACTTCTCTTTATATGTCTATCTACACAGTACTGAAGTTGTACCCAAAACAATTAAATATGGGTGGGGGGCAGTATAACCACATTGGAAAAAGTGAAAATATCCCCCTTTGAATATGACATGATCCTATGTGGAGAGAAAGTGACAAAACAGCCCACAAATATTAGAGATAAATCTAGAAACATTTCAGCATGCAAGATGAAGAGGCAACAGTTACATTTCTATATACTAGTAATGCAACCATCTGAAAAGGGTCAAATATTTGACAGCAAGTCCTTTATAACAACATGAAAAAGAATGAGGCAGACAGACCTAACCCTGAATTAGAACTACACACTTAAGACTCCAGAACACTGACAAAGAGACAGAAGACACTACTACACACTTAAGACTCCAGAACACTGACAAAGAGACAGAAGACACTCTGTTAAAATATCCATACAATCAAAATACTTACAGATTTGGGACAAAATCAAAATCCCAGTAATATGTTTATATATACACATAGAAATTATAAAATTTGCATGATCTCAAAAAAGACAATTGAGAACAAAGCTAAAAATAATACACTATCCAATCTCAACATCTACTATAAAATTACAGTAATTAAAATGGGATCAAACTATAAAAAAGACTGATGTGTAGGCCAATGAACAAAATAAAGACCTTAAAAAATAAATATAAAAATAAATAAGCACAACTTCTCTTCAATAAAGGTACCAAGAAAACACAGTAAGTAAATGGTGGTCTCTTCAATATATGATGTTGGGAAAAAATGACCATATTATACACATGCAAAACCATAAAACTGAACCTTTATCTTACAACATACAAATCTTATAACACACACACACACACACACACAATCAACTCAAAGTGGAAAAAATAATTAAGAATAAGACCTGAAACTGTAAAGTCTTAGAATGAAAATTACATGTTCAGGGTTGTACTGACTAGTTTTCTGTCAAGTTGACCCAAGATAGAGTCATTTGAGAAGAAAAATAAAGTTGAGGAAATGCCCCTGCCAAATCAGCCTGTGGGGCATTTTCTTAATTCATGGTTGATATAGAAAGGTCCAGCTCTCTGTGGGTGGTGTCACACTTGGGTTGGTGGTCCTGGGTGCTATAAGAAGGCAGACCGTGTTATGGGATATTTTGATTACACTCTGATAGCCCTGAGACTACCTATACTTTGAATCAGGGGGCAATTAATGGCTAGCTGACCAAAATTAGCCATAGAGAAGCTAGCAATTTGGATAGAGAAGATGCACGGGAAGGAAAGGACAGGGACTAGAGTATGAGTTCTCTTCGTTCTGGGACAAGGGAAGAGATATGTCTTTTACAGCGTCTCCAGCCAAAAAACAAGGTCAGCTAGTTGCTACTCAGTCTCTGAGTTAGCAGGTTTTCACCCAGCCTTTGACTTCTGGGTCTTATTGATAAATATAACAATAGAGACTTAATTTCAACCTACATACCATGGTCCAGGACTGGACCTTCCAGGCCACAGCTTAAGTAGCTGGCGGCTCTGACTGAGGGCCATGAGATGGCAGATGATAATTAAAATATCAGTAGATTCATGTGCAGCCGCATAGCTGACAGAAAAACATCGAGGCTGAGCAAGCCATGAGGAGCAAAGCCAGGAACCAGCACTCTTCAGTTCCTGCTTCCAAGTTTCTGCCTTGACTTCCTTCAATGATGGATCTTGATGTAGAACTTTAAGCTTAAATATGCCCTTTCCTTCCCAAGTTCCTTTTGGTCATGGTGTTTATCAGATGAAAGCAAACAAACAAATATACAAAACAAAAACTCCTAACTGAGACAGAAATTGATACCAGTTCATGGGATACAGCTGAGACAGACCTGACTATGCGTTTGGGGAGGACTGTGGTGGCATCTGAACCGTTTACATCTATCATGTTATTTCTTCCTCTTTAATCCATCTGGGTTGTTTTTTGTTTTTTGGGGTTTTTTTTTCCTTTTTTACTGTCTTATTTTTGATAATTTTAAATGCCATTTTATGTCCTTAGTTGGTTTATTAACTATAACTGCTTTAATTCATAGACTGCTTTAGGGCTTATGACACCTATCTTATCACACAGCCTAGTTTCAAATGATATCATACTACTTTGTATACACAGCTGAAAGCCTTACCATAGTGTATTTTCATTTCTCCCAGCCTGGCCTTTTGTTCTTACTGTCATTCATTTTACATGTACATATCTATGTGTTAAAGTCATGTAGATGGCATTTTTATTAAAAGCCAACTATCTTTCAAAGTTTAAATATGAACTTTATTTTTGGTAAAAAACCATACTTTTCTGTACTCCTTTCTATGAAGCGCAGCAATATTTTAACGATGCTATAGCCAGAGAATGAAGGGAGGAGGTCAATGGACCACAGCTTGATAAGGTTTCAATTCTTGAAAGAAAATTACCAATGAGCCAGAACAAAGTATTTACCAATCATTTTCAAATGTTAAGTGTATTTTAACATCATGAGAATGAATTTGAAGTGCATAAGCAGTTGCAATAGTAGTGACATGTAACTAACATTCTGTAAGACCTTTATTTACCTGCAGTGGACCCAAAATAGAGCTGGTTGTATACATAAAAAAGAGTCGAAGGTAACTCAGGACATTTGCAAATGCAAAAAGCCCTTCTGCTACAAGTGTGGGGTGGAATGCATCCCAGTCCTTCCGGTCAGCAAAGTCATGAAACTGGGGGCAGGAAGGGAAGACAAAGTCAGTCAGGAAAATGAAGAGGAATATCATGAAATGTCTCAACCAGAACTATCTTAATTGTCTTCCTGTGGAACACCTAAATAATGTTTTAGCCAAACACAAGCTTTCCATGTATTCTAGGAAATACCACTTTATGTGCAGAAATTTACTAGAAATTTCTTGGTATAAAAAAAAATTAGACCAGTTACAAAATTTATCATTAGGGGCTGGAGAGGTGACTCAGCTGTTAAGAGCCCTGGCTGCCCTTCCAGAGGTCCTGAGTTCAATTCCCAGCAAGCACATACTCGGGTCTGATGCCCTCTTCTGTTATAAAGGTATACATGCAGATAGAGCATTCATATACATAAAATAAATACATCTTTTAAAAACTTATCATTAAATTCTCATGAAAGAAACACTGGCTAGTTTCCTTGAATTCTATAACACAAATTGTGAGAATGCACGCTGTCAGTTAATTAGATGCTGTACAAGACACAGTCCTTTGACCTAGGAATTTAGAACAAACCACAAAAGTTGGCCCCTTTCAAGTAAAACAAAAATGTGTCATTGTACCTTGACATGGGGAACTACCTATCTCACTGCAAAGACTGTATATCAGTTGTTCTGTGGGACTGTAAGCCATGCATCCTTCCACTCTCAACATGTCCTGTTTGGATTAGAAAACTACTTCTAGAACCAAAGAAAGTAGTCTGAAAAAAATCAGTGCCACCAAATCTATCAAGGCATTCATTTCCATATGACCAATTTTTTTTTAGTAACTTCTCACTTCAGTCATTGAATCTCCCTCTGATCAACATGTTGCATACTATTGATCAATTAAAGAAACAGGTATTAAATAAAGTAAACTGATAGAATCACTTTGCTCTTTCTATCATCAAAAATAGACCAAAAATCATGAAATATTATACATCTTAGTACCCTAAATGTGGTACTCCATAGCTAACATAGGGCCTATTATATTTCCTGACTTTGAGAAAGCATAAATATTGATGAAAGAAAAATTAGAAGAGGTATTAAACACACACACTTGGTAAATGAGCTAATGAAGAAATAAGATACTAGGTAGAAACAAAATACATAAGGCCTGGATTTTAATCATCTTTTTAAAAACACTAGTTACAGATATGTTGCCTAATTTCTCTGAGTTGTTTTCTTATTTGCAAAATGAGGATAAGGACTTTTGTCTTAAAGTATTCCTATGAGAATCCAATTAGATACAGTATATCTAACATTGACCATGGAACCTAGCATATGGTAGGCAACCATCAATTGTAAGGATAAAATTAGATGCAGTATATCTGACATCAACCATGGGACCCAATATATGTAAGTAACAACCATCATTGAAAAAGCAAAACATTCAAACTACTGAAAAGGTAAGCAGATTCACACAGATTGCTTTAAAATGAAAAGATACCAGACATAGATTTGGGTCTATACTAACTCTGAGTTCCAAAGATAAGTATATTAATTTTTAAAACAAATGTCTGTAACTTTGATTGACAGTGAACAGTCACCTTGTTGTGAGCTACCACTTTGAGGGCAAAGGTTGCCAGGTAGAGGGAATTCATGACAAAGCTGAGCTGGTTGCGTGATTCTTCTAAAAAGTCTTCTAACCCTTCATACCAGAGTCTCTTAATGTCCGACCAAATCATCCCTAAAACAATGAAAACATCAGATTTGTTAATTCAATAATAAGCTAAACAATACTGTAAGAGACAAAGTGTTTACAGTGCTTGGGTTAACTATAGCTGTATTCCAAAGGCAGTGGGGGGGAGGATGGAGAATAACAGCCTTTTAGTGTAAAGTATTTAAAATTTGAAAGAAAAAAAAATCTTATGTTTCTTGAGACTGGAAAAAATAATAACCTTAAGTTTCATATTGGCCAGAAAGGAATGCTAAGTGATGTGATACAAACTAAGAAGACAAGATAAATGCTGGCATGCACACACACACACACACACACACACACACACACACACACACACAAGCATACATGAGCATACATACATACTACACACACACACACACACACACACACACACACACACACACGGTTTTGTTTTAAATAATATCTGTGTAACAAAAAGTCTCAAATTTCTATTAGTTTTTGTGTGAACAGTGGGTATATGCATGTGTACACGTGTGTATATAAGCCAGGGATCAATGTCAGTTGATTTCCTCAATCATCCTCTATATTACTTTTTGAGACAGGGTCTCAATGAATGTGGAGCTCATGCAGGTTGGCCATCTAGCTCCAAGGATCCACCTGTCCCGGACTTCACATTCCAGATGCATGCTGGAGAGCATGGCTTTTATGTGGTGCTGGGATACTGAACTCAGGTCCTCAAGCTTGCACAGCAGGCATCCTACTGACTGAGCTATCTCACAGCTCCTCCAACACATATATTTAAATTCAATTTATATTTACATAATAATTTCTATCAAACCTCTCTCCTAAACTCAAATTATTTAGACAATGTTCTGATCTGAACTAGTTGAAGATGTGTCCAAACAGCTTAAATACATCACACTTAGAGATTTTTCTCATTTCAGTTACTAGAACTCCATCCCTCTAGTTGTTCAATGTTAATCAATTCAAATCTTGAATCACTCCTAATTCCTGTTTCTTTTAAACTCCACATCCCTTTTAGGTAGGGAGCCCAGATTCAGACACCAACTCCACTCATCTCCTCTCTGAACCCTCTGTCAGAGACCCAAACTCACACTGACAACTTTACCCAACCCTATGACTTGCCTGAAGGCCCTGTGTCCCACACCTGCCCTCTAGCCCCGCTGTGGCCCCTCCTCCTCAGGTAGGGAGCCCAGACTTGTGTGATACCAACTCCACCCATCCTTGCAGCTAAGGGCTGCTTGTCTCCAGGTGAGTATGCTAGGCTCAATCAACAACTCTATAGGCTCTCATTGCCTGAGGACAATTCCTGAACACTTCCCCTAGTTTTTAAATATTGGCTATGCGAGAATCTTCTAACTCTACATAAGGTTTGCTCCTGGGCTTAGAAACTTCACTTAACCTACACTGAGCCATGACTATGACTATTTCTAAGACCACATTCTATCATCACCCTCAACTGGCCCAAGACTTAAGCCTAAAACCTATTCAGCTAGTCTACAACCTGACAAACGCAGGTAATAGGAAACAAATTCAAACACCCTCAAAATGGAAGACAGGACTTCCATATCAAGAAACACTACCACTGCTTAACTCCAAATGTCTAGGTCCCATTGCAAAAACACAAACAAATAAGACAATAGATCTCCTTCAAAAATTAGTGCTCAAATAGTAATGTTTTCCAGGAAAGTGATTTAGATGGGTAGACTAGGCTAGCCTCAGACTTACAGGGACCTGCCTGCTTGTGTCTCCTAAGCACTGGGATTGAAGGTGTGTGCCACCATGCCTGACTATTCATCAAGACATTTTAAAGAGACTATGAAGTAACAGAGAACGAGAGCTACAATATAACACATGAATGGAAATAAAGTACTTTTGGCTAACCAGCAGGCAGAAAAATTTCATGTGAAAACATGAAACATTCTTGAAAGAACATCTTTGTTATACAGTACTATATTTTATGAAGAAACAAATTAAAACACATATAGATCTGAGAGAGAAAAAAAATGAATATTCTACTTGGTAACTTTTTGCCCAAAATGAATGATTAAAAAAAATCATCTAAAATGTTAAATGAAGAAGTCCTGAAAGGTTGTATTTTATCAATTTAAATATTTTCTTAAGAGGAATAGAGATAAAAATTCTGGGAACACATCTTGCCCAGCCTCACCCCAGGAATATAGATCACAAACTATTAAATCCTCCACGGTCACACCTTCTCTAAGAACTCAAGTTATTATCTCAACCTAGATCACGGTAAACAATAATGTGTAAATCTTAACTTATATAACATTGCCAAATAACACTTTACATGATGATCCAAGAAAACGTTTTACTTCTGTGTGATGCAGGATTTTATCTAAATAAGACTCTACTCCATTATTTGGAGAAGGCTGTTGCACGAACTCTAACTGTTCTTAATAAAAAGAATTCAGAGTCAGATATTGGGGTTCATGCTGAGGATCAGAGAAGCAAAGCAGCCAGCTGCTAGAGAGTTCTCACCTCTACCAACACGCAGACCAAAGGGGTGATCAGAGTGCATCAGCAAACTGCATCTCTCCTCCCCTCCCGCCTTATATTCCTCTCTCCACCCAGCCATACCACCCCTGTTTCTATCTCCTTAGTTTAATGGTTTGCATTATTAGATAACTTGGTGAGTTATTTTACAATATCCACCTTTTGTTTTCCTTCTGCTAGTGCCAAGTAATTTTCATATATTGTCATTCTAATATAAAAATCAATTATTTTTCAAGTGACTTGATTTCAGAGTTTTACTTTTAGCAATATTCCAACCATGATGCATTAATGTGTGAAGTTAGGTAGGTAAAATAAAAATAGTACATTAGGTTAAAGGGAAATTTCATCTTAATATTTTCCTGTTTCTTTATTTACCTAAGATTTAATGTTTTAATTTAGGGAATAATTTATATTTCCCATGTATTATATGTAGCTTTATACTGTAAATTTTGATATTAGGTTAAAAAAGTTGTGTAAAAAAAAAAAAACCCTCTAAAAAGAGGTCTAATCATCAAGTCCCACTCCTCTGTGAGAAATAAGGTGAATACTCCTAAGGAATAACACCTGAAGTTTATTGCTAGCCTCTATTTACACTTGTGTAAAAGGAGATTACAACATTACACCCGTTAGAGAAGCTCCTTAAGCAGGAAGGTAAACAACTCAAAATAGCTTCAGAAAGTGTCTGAAACTAACCAGATTCACTAGTCCCCTTTCCTTCCATGGTAAACAATAAAACCTTGGAGTCCCTCTCAGACCAAAGGAAGCCAAGTTTTTAAAGAAAACTCTCAGACAAGTAAAGCTGGAAAAACTCTCAGAGAAGACCAGCTTGCAAGATGTTTAGACAAACTGAGGTACTTGGAAAGGACACAATCCAACCAGCTGGGCTCCCTGCAAACTGCAATGTGCTCCAGGTTCTAGCTTTGTGAGCTGTAACTCATTCTGGGGTGGGCTTTGGTGATACACTGTCTTTGAGTAATTTCTGCTCCAGTGAGTAACCCCTTACCCATATTCCTGTAGTTTACCCTAATAAAACTCACTGGTTCATCAAACTGGACTGTGGTGGTATCCATACTTTGGTTTGCCATGAGATCCCTATATGGGGTGAGTGGACATGTGTGTTGCATTTCCCCAGGAAAGTTTTTGTCACATAACACACCCACATTGCATTCATACCCACACATGTATACCAGCACAAATGAGCATGTGTGCACCCACACACACAATTTTTGACTTTCATGAATTTAGCTAATACAAAGTTATAAAATCAGGAACATTAACCTTTGTAAAGATATTAGATAAATAATCATGAAAATGTTCATGTCTTAGCTGTACCAAAGGACAAAGTTGCAAATTGAACTCCATTTTCATAATGTCACCAAGCAAGGAATATTAAATAATAAAGGCAAATCTTTTAAACTCATTTGGAACTTACCAATAATCCACAGTATGAGAAGGTAGTCTATTCTCTCAAGGGCTGGCCCCATTGTATTTTTCTTGTCTTCATTGTAGACAAGTGAGTAGAGATTTAGTAACAGCAAGAATGTGAAATATGATGCTCCATGAATAATAAATTTCATAAAAGGTGTGTGAATGATTCTGCCAAATTGAGATTTGGGAGCTATCAAATAACATAGTGACAAAACTGGCCAGAAGATGCCAACTGTCAAAACAGTCATTATCTTCTTACAGGTGGGCTTACGGCGGTAGCCTGACATCTGTCCAAACCAAACGGTGTTCAGGAACTGCTGGCAATTTGACTGGGAGACAAACTGAAAAGGACATACAGAAATATAAAAAATAAAAAAGGTAAATGAAACCTTTAAATAGTAACTGGATAATATTCAAAGTCTTAACATCTGATGATAAATCCTACACATTGTATATAGGTTTTTTTCAGAACACAGACTATGGATTCTGATTACACAATTCAAATCCAAACTCTGGTACAGGCTAGATGACCATGAGTAAGTTTTCAACCTCTCTAGCTTCTCAGTCCTTGTCTCTAACATCTGGATAGCAATAGTAGCTCCTCATAAACTTGTGAAGATTTGGCATCAAGTTCTTAGGATAATGCCTTATTCTCAGCACAATGCCATTTTAAGTATTCAAAGTATTAGCAGCCTTATTGCACTCAGCTGATTTAAAGACTATCAAGAGCCTTTACAAGCCAGTACAAAGACATATCATATGCATAAAAGTTGAAAGTTAATATGCATTCCATAAACAGCATTAACTAATCTTTGATAAAGTGCTGGCTTTAGTTCCTGAGTTTTGAGAAACCCAGATGGCTTGGTAAAAAATAGTCCATGTATTATATCTACATACACTTCAAGAAAACACTGAGAGGGATTTAAACTGTATCAGAGACTCTGATTGCAGTGCTGAAGCCTGAAATTAGGGCCTTGCACATACATGATGGGCAAAAGTACTCTACCACTCAGCTGCATCCTCAGACCAGGCTAACTGTGGATTTGTGATCTTCCTGCCTCAGCAGCTGGAATTTTAATGCCTAAGGCATTAAAAAAAACTTATAAAATTATTTTAAAGCTTTATTTGTTTGTATGTATGTATGTATATAGGTATGTTTTATCTACAAGTATATATGTACACCATGTATATGCATGGTATCAACAGAGATAACAGGGCATCAGATCCCTTGTAAATGAATCATAGATGTGGTGACATGGATTCTGGGAAATAAACCAGTATCCTCACCATAAATGACTGAGCTACCATTCCAGCCCTGTAAAAATAAAATACTCTTAAATTTAGTTGGCAGTGAATTTCATGTAAGAAGAAAAATCTCAAATAAGAACAAAATTATAGTTCAAGTACAGAAGTTAATTTGTACAAGTTTACAAAGTTTCTTAGCTTACAAATTTAAATGGCAATATTTTCTAATATAATGTAATCAAAGTATAGACAATCATGTTATTCAAGAATGTAAAATAATGTTTTGTAAATGTTACTTTTTAAAATGATTTTTGGTGGCACACTCCTTTAATTCCAGCACTCTGGGAGGCAGAAGCAGGTGAATCTTTAAGTTCAAGGCCAGCCTGGTCTACAGAGTGAGTTCCAGGAAAGCCAGGGCTATGTAGAGAAACCCTATTTTGAAAAACAAAACAAAACAAAAAACCAAAAAAATTTATCCTGAACTAATACCTAATTCGCAGAATTTTAGTCTGAAAAACAAATCAAAACAGGGCAGCATCCTCTCATGCTTATCAAGATTTTTTCTAACATAACTATACTCATTTTTAGCAATTAGGTCTTATGTCATTCTTTAACTTTTTTATGTGTATGAGCACTTTGCTTGCATGTTGTGTGCTTGATGCCCAAAGACACTAGAAGAGAGCAATGGACCCTCTGAAACCAGAGTTATAGACAGGTGTGAGAGGCCATATAGGTGCTGGGAAATGAACCTGGGTCCTCTAGAAAAGCAGTCTGTGTTCTTAACCATTGGGGCATCTCTTCAGCCCCTCCATTCCTTATTCTGTTTGGATTCCAGTGTTTGTCCCTCAAGGTGAGATACCTGGGGATGAAATAGTCTTTCTTCCCAAACTACTTTTTAGCAGCAACCAGAAATTAGGGGATGTGTAACTTTTCCCCAAATATCAAAGAAAACTCAACCCTACTTCTATACTTGACATCCCTTAATATAATAATAATTTAATTAGAAATTGTATTAAGTAGTACCTAGAATAATAAAATCTCAACTACAAATGTCTACAGTGGTTTGAGGCATAGACAAAGATTCTCTAATATTCCTGTCATCAAGAAGTGGTGGGCAGGGGAGGAAATCACTATTCCCATTTGTCCTTTAATCCAGCAACCTGAGATTACTATAGCCAGCAAAAAAGACTACATTCCAGCAGAAGGGACCCAATGTTACCTCTGAAAGGCCTCCTTAAGGTCATGCTTCTTTTACCTTCTTCACATAAATACTAACTGTTAGAGTTAGGAGTTGCCCTATAAAAAGGTCCACTACCCCAAAGTCAACAAGTTGTGAAAGCCCGAGGAACACAGACATGAAAACACTCCAGTCAGCCCTTAGCTGCTTCTTGGCCCATGCCCTCACTGCCCACTGTGATCACCATGCTCCCCCCAGATCTCAGATTTGAGTTCTCGGGAGCTCCACTTTCTGTGAACTCGCCCATCTCAGCACCCAGCCTACTGAGACTGTGATACTCATCATCCCGGCTGATGTTCAGACACCAGAGAGCTGAGTAACAACCCTCCAAACAAGATCTGCTTCTACTTCCAGACACTAGCATAGCCTTTCCTTTACGCTGTATATACACTGTTGAATTATGAACATGTATCTATACTGTTACTTTTTTTTATTATATTTGAGAACCAAATAATAAATAAAATAAAGATAAAGAAAATAACCTAAATATATCACAGAAAGTTTCATACCTCCTTTTGGTTATATTTGATAGCAAGTTTTAGACGACTTAAATTCATTCTTTCTTCTAGTAGTCCTCGTTTGTCAAGAGGCTCATCACTAGATGTATGGTTTAGGATAACTTCCAGTTCACGTGAATTCCGGGCTTGTGCAAGCAAATCTTTAGCAAACATTTTGCACTGACGGGCTAGCTCTTCATAATCATTCCTATAAAATGCACAATCTACTATTAGGAATAGCATTCCCACTGTATACTATTAGGAATGCCATTTCCACTGGCCAATGAGATTACATCGCTGGAAATTACTTTACTCAGTAATATTTAAATTCTGACAGGATTACGTAAGATATGATCTTTTCCTGCTGGCAATCACAGGAGCTTATCAGTGCAGAAAGTCTCCACAGTTGTCCATATTGATGATTTCAGATGACACTATAAGAAATGCTTATAAAACTTGTTGGTTTTCACTTAATTCATTTCTCTCATTCTCTGTAGAACAGCTAAAATTTCCCTTGACATTATTCATATAAACAACAAAAACAGTATTTTTGATATTATTAAATGGTTTTTACCTACAGTAATTTCAAAAATTTACAATATACATATGCTACTTTAATACTGACAAGGTACTGTGACTCACATTTAAAGTGTTCATGTGAGTGACATTCAGTTGAATTTTAACAGTACCTCCTAAGGACACCTCTTCAGAAGTGCTAGCTTCCAAACCTTACCTTTGTCTTTGACTTACTTATAAACATTGTACTTAACATGTGAGAAGTGAAGTTTTAGTACATAATAATTTATTAAACATCAATTACATTAAATTTATAACTCAGCTAAACAAAGTAAGCTTTATTAGAGGCTGGACTTTAGAAAATAATTTTATCCAGCTTTTCCCCCCATGTTAAAAGGAAGGCAAACAGGAAGGCTACTTAGTCTTTGCACACAGCAAACGTTCCCTTGAACTGGCTGATTGTAAGCTAGACTACAACTTTTCCTTAGAGGCAAACATTTTTCTCATTCTTTGCATTACTACATGACCTGAGAACAATTAATTGTTTAACAATTAGTTATTTAACAAATGAAGTATTTAACATGCCTTTTGGTTTAGGAATATAATTGTAGATGGGAATATGCATCAAAAGTATTATTACAAAGATATCTCTTCTTTAATAAATATTTAATAGACTGCTAGAACAAAGTATACAATTCATTAAACTGTTTAATCTCTAACAGATTATGGGAAAATAATTAAGTGGCTGTACAGTTTACACAGAGCTACAGTTGGTAATGAGCAAAGATCTTGGTCCCTAAATATAACTTTATAGGGATTTTGTACAATTTTGTCCTGCCTTTACTCAACTGTGTAGCCCTGGCTGCAGAATCACCAGGTAGACCAGGCTAGCCTCAAAACTCACAACAGTGAGATCTGCCTCCCAAGGGCTGGGATTAAAGCTGTCTCTGTTTTTGGGGACAAGGTTTGTTATGTACCCAGGGGGCTGGCTTCAAACTCCTGCTTCCATCTCATAATTGGTGGGATTGCAGGCATGCAGTACCATGCTTAGCTGTAACTTTGCTTCTTTGGGTTTTAACTGCTGCTAACATATTGCTGATAATAGTAAAAACATTTAGGTTTTGTAGACTTTTCTCTATTAAACACCAGGTTAAAATAAATGAATTCTAGGGTAACATTCAAATCTAAGTTTATTAGTTCATGATTATAATACAATCATAGCAGTTGTTCAAATATTTTTTGGAATAAATTAGATAAATTCTATTTTATATGGAAATAAAAAATAAGGTTATAAGAAATTATTTGATGGGCTTTGGAGGCTCATGCCTTTAGTCCCAGCACTTGGGAGGCAGAGGCAGACAGATCTCTGTGAGTTCTAGTCCAGCCTGGTCTACAGGATAGGCTCAAAAGCAATACAGAGAAACCCTGTCTCAAAAAAAAAAAAAAAAAAAAAAAAAAAAAAAAAAAAAAAAAAGAAAAGAAAAGAAATTCCTCATATTTAAGTAGAATTTATTCATAGCCTCATGTGTGAATAAAATTAAAGTTAACTATGTTTTATGAGTTTATCAAAGTATACAGATTTTTTCTAATGTAATGTACTTAAAGAATAGTAGTTCTAACCTTGAAAACTTACAAGTAGTCTTTCCTAAGTCTCTGGACACAGAACTTTTAGGAACATACTATGTATGCTTCTGTTAAGGCTAAATAAAATTGAGTTTCTGATCCTGCTCCGTAAGTGTGAATGAACTTTGTTGACTTTCAAGATGGAGCAGAGCCACACAAGATGAGGCCACATAGGCAACCGTGCCTGGAAAGTGGGTTCATGTACTGTCCCTGTTGGCACTTTGCAAATGGGAGCTGGTGAGAGGGAGGTGGAGATACTCGCAGTAAGGGTGACTGCAAGGTTGTCTGGGGGACTAAGTGGTTACAGAAGAGCAAAGGACAGAGGAGGAGTCAAGTACACAGCACCAAGATATGTTCCTTTGACAGAGAAAGAAAATGCCAAGTGATAACAATGTTAGTTATCTTAGATTAAATGTAAATAAGTGCAAATTATCATTCAGTCTATGAACAGATTGAAGCATATGATTCTACAACAGAAGATGTAACAACATCAACTCTTCCCCACCTGAATTCCACTTCCACGAGGCTGAGTTCCTTTAAGTCAGCACTAAGTTCAAATGCTCTCAGGATTGGATCCTCCTCAGTTAACATTATTAGAGCTGGACTGGCCAGACATCTATAGATATCAAGACGAAATCTGTGGTAAAATTTGATTACATAATGTAAAAAAATTTACCCTTGTTAGTTTTAATATACATTGTTTACAAACTTATAAAGTATAAAACATTAAAATGCAAATATACATATGCTTATTTCAAGGTAATTTCCCCAAGGAGAAACATCTAAAACTTAAATATTTTGAGGAATAAATACTGGAAAATGTTGTTCACTGCTTTAAGTTACTGTCTCTTTTCCAACATTCAAAATTTTGGTTGCTTTGGTAAAGCTGCAATTTCAGCTCTCAGGTAGCTGAGACAGGATTAGGAGTTTCAGGCCAACCTAGGATACATAGCAAGACCTACCCATCCCTAGAGGAGTCATAGAAGAGAGAGAACTACTACTGCCATTTTTCCTAAACCAATATATTTCTAAATAGCTGTCTCCATACCCACAGATGAGTGCATCTCCTGTCTCTCATTAGAGAAGCTTATTTTTCCAAAGGAAGAGACTCTTTCAGAAACCTGCAACTCATTAAAATGCAGACCGGGGCTGTCGGGTGCTCAACCTCATTTTATACATCTTCAAGGCAATCACTACAATTCAGATTTGGGGAGAAAAACACAAAAGAGGTGGGCAGAAAGACTGTAAGAGTCAGAGGCCTAGACCCCATTGCCATTTTTTTTTTTTTTTTTTTTTTTTTTTTTTTGAGACAGCGTTCTTGTATATGGAGCCCTTGTTGTTCTAGAACTGGCTCTATAGACCTGCCTGGCTTAGAATTCACTGAGATCTGTCTGCCTCTGCCTCCCATGCACTGGGATTAAGGGTGCGCATCACCACCAGCTCAATAATATGGTTGCCTGAACAAGATCAGCACAATGACTACATAAGCTAATGCACTACGTAGAGAGTGGCAATTCCATATGGGCCCACTCCTAGATAAGAAGCTATAGGTGCTCAATGCCTACTGAGAGAATTAGTTTCCTTCAGGGGTAGCTCCTGTATTGGATGTCCAATCCCAAATGGTCAGTCCTGGACACATGTATATATAAGCAGAATTACATGGACTCAGTAGATTGTATATATGTAACATTAATAATTAAAGAGACCATGGATTTAGGAGGAAGAGCACAGGAAGATCTTGAGAGGAAAGGCAGGTGTGGTGGTGATATAGATTAACAGTATGAATGTAGGAACTTCTCCAAAAATAAATAAGAACAAAGAACCCATAATTTAAGTGTATTTATGACCATACAGAAGAATACTATCTTTGTTTCTCTTAAGATAAATGTTTCCTATTAAATGCATTTGTCAGTTAAGACTGGAGAGTACCATGTCTCAAGGAAACAAAAATTCACAATGTTTAAACTGAATATTCTTTTACTTCTGAACATCTTAATTGTAGGAGAAATATTCTGTCTATAGTTCCTATCACCTAACGTTTCAGTTAGTCTGGAAAAATGTGAGCACTAATACCTTAGTGGTCTAATTTAAAACATACATTTCTCCTTTCTTAATTCTATTTTTATTTATAGTTTATATAATCAGATTAAGTTAACTGAAATGATAGATACCTTGTGATCTTTCTTTTTCAAAAAAGACAAATGATACAAAAATTGTCTGTAATATAGTTAAGGAAAATATTTTCTATTTCTGAACCCACATAATTTTAAAGGAAATGTACAAGCAAGTAATAGAATATGGACTGAATGATACTGAGGTTTTTTTCCTCTCCCAGACATTAAACTTCTTTAGCATTTTAAATATATTTAACATTTGTCTCATTAAGCCAAGTTACAATTTTGAAAGATTTTTCAAATAGTTATGAGTGAAATTACTCAGTTATGTATAATTTCTAATTGAGAGAATCCCTTTTACTCTCTGCAATTTAATAAATATTCCTATTTCAATACCAAAACAGGAAATGAATAAAAATTCACCAGAATTCTTTATTCATAAACACTTAAATATAATTCTTAGTTCACAAATTTGGGAGATATAATACATATGTTTCCTTTACATGTAAATTTAATACAGTGCTATTATTTTAAAGAGTAGACAATCTGACTGGGCATTGGTGGCGCATGTCTTTAATCCCAGCACTCGGAGGCAGAGGCAGGCAGATCTCTGTGAGTTCCAGGTCAGCCTGGTTTACAGAGCTAGTTCGAGGACAGGCTCCAAACCAAACAACAACAACAACAACAGCAAAAACAAAAAACAAAAAACACAACAACACAACAAAACAAAACAAACAAAAAAGAGTAGACCATCTGGAAACCTGGAATGCCACAACCCCCCTCTACAGTCACCACACTTCAATGCATCTCATTCTTTCCTATAAATGGTTTTCCATTTGATAGCTGTTCACTAGATCTCCATTAATGAACATTAAAGTTGCTCCTAATTTATTTCTACTCTAAAAATGAAACAACAGACACTCTTTAATTCTCACATCTTATACGCAGCTCAAACTACTGGGCAAAAATAGCATGCAAAATTAGTCTGTATTCATGGATACTCAGGAGGCTGGGGCAAGAGGATCGCTTGAACTCAACATCAGCTTGGGTAACATAGCAAGATATCACCTAACAAAACAAAACAAAACAAAACAAACAAACAACATCCAATTGTCTGAATGGCCTGTTTTGTTTTTGTTTTTGTTTTTTTTTTTTTCAATACCCAGGTTGACCATGATCTCACAGACCTTCTGTCTCAACCTGTCAAGTAGCTCAGGTTACAGGCATTATCTAGTTTACCTGTATCTTACATATTTCTGAAGAGGCAGCTGCCTGAACTATAGCTACCAAATATGTGTATAGACAACATCTCTGTGCTTCCATCAAAAACACTGATTAATTTTACCAGACTATTACAGACAGCATGCAGGTGCAAGAGGAGCTTCAGTAAAGGTGTACAACACAGTGTGGGTAAATGATGCCAGAAACACTCTGTTGCTGTTTGATTCTGAATTAATTTTTAGCCATTTCACATTCACAAACCTATTACTGCTGAGAAGTTTCTCCCTCCCACTGAGTTTAGAAGCTACAGCTGAGAGCTGCCTCAATTTTTCCCTGTCCCCTGTTCAATAAAGAGCTGTAGTTCCTTCAGGTTCAAACTAGTAAACCTGTAACTTTGGGCTAGAAGAACCAAATAATGGACTGGACATATGACCAATGGAAAACTAGCTTCTCAAGACTGGCAAGTCAAGAAGAGGCCAGCAGAGGATCAACCAGAAATGTCAAGAGATACTCTGGAAATGAGAAAGCTGCAGATAAATTAACAGTGTTTCTACAACTCTCTAGCTGGCCAGTCAATTACACATATGTGAGTAACACTTAAGTTTGAAAAAAAAAAAAAAAGAAGACTTAAAGAATTACTAAGAAGTTACCAAATGCAGGATCATGTACAGGGTCCATAAGCCACCAAATGATTTCACTTAGGTAAGGTTTGCAAAATAGTGCTAACATGGATACAAAAATTAGACTGTTGTTTTTATGCAGTGGGAGAGTTGCTAATAGCATGCATTTTGTTTGAAATGGTTAAACTATAAAGTTAAAGTGATCAATGATAAACTTTATAAATACCCTGATTAGAGTTTGTATTGCTGTGAAGAGACACCATGACCACGGTAACACTTATAAAGGAAAAAAATTTAATGGGGTGGCTTACATTATCAGAGGTTCAATTCACTATCACCATGGTAATGTGCAGACAGACAAGGTGCTGGAGAAGTAGCTGAGAGTCCTACATCTTGACATACAGGAAACAGGAAGTGGTCTCAGATACTGGGCCATATCTTGAGCATATATGAGACCTCAGAGTTCAACCTCCACAGTGACATACTTCCTCCAACAAGACCATACCTAGCCCAATAAGGCCATATCTTCTAATAGTGCCACTTTATTTGGGGACCTTTTTTTTCCCCTCAAACTACCACATATCCTAAGATCAGAATTTTACATTTTAAAAGGGTGAGGCTTAGTTTGTTACTTTATACTTCCTTAGAAGTGAATTATGCGCTCCAATCCCTCAGAATTAAGGGAGAAGTTACCAGTAGAAAGAAATCTGAGAATTCTTTGCATAAATATACATAAAACACAACACATGTGAAAACAATTCATGGGTCAAAAGAATGAGCAGACAAGCCATACAGTAAGAAAAAAATGTAGTATCCTTCCTTACCCGTGTTGATGCCTGAAACACTACACTGATGCTCCTCAGCTTGTAGGGTTACACCTGTTTTTAAGCTTTTCTACTTTGCAAGTGTGAAAGTTCTGTACATTCAATAAAAACTGAACAACACAGGTTTTTTTTGTAATTAGTATTTATTACCTAAATATTTCTAAAATACTTATCAGCTCTATTTTGCAGACAAGAAAGTCAATGACCAAAGAGGTTGTTTAACAATTTGCCTCATTACATAGTATTTTTGGATACTATGTATAATAATGCCAGAGACCGAGTAATTTTACTTTCTAAATAGCCTCTGCTGACCTCAAATTTATGATCCTCCTGCCTCAACATTCTAGGTAATAAAGTTATAGACCTCTAATACTGGTCATATCTCAACATTGCTACAATGAGGATCAAAACCATATGTAAAGCACAGAAAAGGCTTACTCTGAAAAACTGACTTCCCAACCAGCTGACAATCATATATGTAATAAAACTGCCCATGGGTGATATTGTTCAATCTATAAAAAGCAGACTCTCTTAATCTTAACATTTCAACTGGGGAGATGGAAAGAGATGAAAAATAGTAAAGAAGTAAAATAAATATGGTCTAAGAGGGAAAATAAGAGACATGAAGAGTGAGAAATTAGGAGAAATTAAATTTTGTGGGCTAGAAAGATGGTTCAGTGGTTAAGAGCACTTGTAGCTATGCAGAAGACGGATTCAGTTCCCAGCATCCACGTGATAGAAAACAAGTATAACACAACCTGTGAAATTTGGGTCCTGGAAAGATAAGTGTGGGAAGGGAATGAGTGAGGAAAGGGCAAACTATACACACACACACACACACACACACACACACACACAGAGAGAGAGAGAGAGAGAGAGAGAGAGAGAGAGAGAGAGAGAGAGAGAGAGAGAGAGAAGCCGGGATCAGGTGAGGTTCCCCTATCTCTGGAACCTCTCAGCACATTTAGTATGTATAACACATAGGGAGGGCTTAACTATTCTCAGTAGGAGACCTCTGTAGGCAGCTGTCTCAGGCTACAAACATCTAGGAGGAAGAAGGTGAAGTTGCTAGTCTTTGCACACTCATAAACTGTGTTATAAATCTTTTATAGACATTCAGACCTGGGCACCTGATGATATATTTAACACCCCTCTTGAGTCTCACCTGGGTAAGGCTTTAACCACCCTGGAGGGGCTGAGCCATTGAAGTCCTCAACATGGCTAAGCTCATGTCGACAATACACATTCCCCTAGGACTTCACTCACTCAGAGCTTCCTCTGCTCCCTATACAAATGTTTGTAACTCTAGTTCCAGAAGATCTGGCCTTCACTGCAAACATGTGGTATACAGACACACATGCATGCAAAACACTCATACACATAAGGTAAAAGTATTTAATGTTTTAAAGTTGTCTTCTACCAGGAATAGTGGCGCACACCCACAATCCAATTACTCAAGAAGCAGAGAGGCAGGAGGATGACTACTTGAAGGTCAGCTGTAAAGTCTACAGAGTGTAGCCAGTGCTACACAGCAAGATGCTGTCTCAAAAAGCTAACATGATGATGGTCATCATCACGGTGGTGGTGATAAGGATGGTAGTTTTGTTTTCTGTATAAGGAAGCAAGTGGTGCCCTTCTACTTCTGCTACCCGGAAGTACTCTTGAACTAATAAGCCATGCCTCTAAAAAGCCTTAGCAGAGAGAGTATAAGATAAACTTCGTTTATAACTTGAAGGAGTTCCCTATTTAGCATTTGGTAAACATTTCTGAAAACTTCAGCATTAACCTTATGAGCCCAAAGGAGCCAGAAACCTAGCTTTCCTAAGGCACCTAAACACATTTCTCAGAAGTTGCACTGAAAGAACAATTTAAAAAATAAAAAATAAATGCTAAACGTCATTGATATGTGTCTTGGCATATCACTCTTCCATTTATCAAAATCCTAATTTTCTAACCTGGAATGTCTGAGGCTGTCCTTTTTGTTTTTTGCAGAACACAGCGTGCATTCACAGCCAACTGCATGGGGCTTGGGCAAAGACACGTCCTGCTTTAAAAGCATTGTAAGAATTTCATAGTTGTTACGATGAGCAGCTAAAATGACAGGTGCAACATCCATTGTTGTTGAATATTCAGGATTCTGAATTCGTTCCATTAGTTTCTGAAAAATATTCATACAAATGTCCAAAGGTTATTATCTGTGACTTCAAAAATATACTTATCTAAAGGATAGAATAAAAATAATATCATATAACGAAGATTAGAATTATTTTAAGAATAATACACTTTACTTTGGCTCATTTTTTGAAACTTTAAATTTTCAATTCTAATTAACAAATGCTAAATAACATAACAGATAAAATCTTTGATAGGCAACATTCTTAAACTATGCACATTTTCCTAATAAAGGTACAAGGGTATCTAGAGAAATCCCTTAAGAAAAAGTATTATTTTAAAAAAATTAATAGAAACATGCATGATAAGAAGAAAGAACAAGAATTTTAGGAAAAGAATAAAATGGAAAAATAGAAATGTTAAAACAGCCATAGTATAAATGCATGAGAAAAACTAAAATTTCTACCTGTGTGCCAACCTTGTCCTACAGATAGCAATGAAGCTGCTTCTTTATAGAGCCCAATCCCTGCCTGTTCTACAACCCGTCACAAAAGCACAAGATCACTATAATCACACTTAATATTTAGTATTTAATGTTAAGCACTGTTAGTCATTTATCATCCCATTTAATCCCCACAGTGAACTATGAGGCTGAGTATAATTAGTAACCACGAAGAAACTGAGGCTCAAAGAAGTTAATGTGCCTGAACCGTAATCAGCACAGGTGCCAATCACACCCAGGTCTGTGTTACTCAGGACCCTGAGCTCCTCCCATTGCAAGGACCCTCAGGCCTACAATGTTATGAAATGAGAAAGAGAAAGAAACAAAAAACCAAAAACATCAGTAATTTAAGAGTTAGAGTTAAATAAAAAGGTTGGCTATTTTATAACTACTGTATATTCTTTCCAATGCTTCTCACTTTTTTGCAGAGGTTTCCCTGAGAGCTGTTTGATTCCAGGGTAAGCTCATCAAGTTCACATTTTGGTAACTTTTATTAACATTGTAAAAGTAGTGTACACTCATTATAAAATATCTGAAAAATACAGAAAAGCAGAAAGAAGAATAAAAATACCCATATTCCTTCCACTCAAATATTTAACATTTTACAGTACAGTATTTCTTTCTAGTCCTTTCTTTACTTCACCCCTTTTGAAGGACACATTTTGCATAAACCCTAGCGTGTTAAGCACCAGTAATAAAAACAACAGTTTTTGATAAAAGCAATAATTCTTAATACTACAAAGATCAAAAATGAAAAAAAAATCTCATTGCTCTAGAGCCCAGGTCAAGGGACAAAATCATGGACAGAATTTTGCATGCAATTTAAGGAAACTCACAGTATCATCTGTGTTTAAGATACTCAGCAATGTAAATGACATTACACCAAACTGCTAAGAAAATAGCTTTCTACAAATTTAGGACTGCCTCATTAGCACTGACCCTCCCTAGAAGTAGAAGTACAGGTCAAAGGTCAGGAAAAATGTGAAGTTCTTGATACGTAATGTCTAAGTCTTTTCAATGGTTTATATTCTCAATAACATGGGTATGTATCCATTTCATACCGAAGTTTTAATCACAGCAAAGGGCACTGTCTCTCTTAATATGAGTAAATTTTAATTTACTTTCTTTTAAGTACTGCTAAGTTTTGATATTTTCCAATATGCTTTTCTTCTTTTATGAAGTTTGTTCATGTGCTTTTCAATTATTTATTGGAGATTTCATATTCATGAATTTATGTAACAGTAAATAAAAGCCTAAAATTGGTACTTTTCTCTCACTGTATTATTGGTTAAAAAAAAATCATATTTACTCTCAGGCTTAAAGTCCTAGCTGAAAAGTGACTCTGCCTTTCCTATGAAGCATTCATAGCTGGAAAACCACTACTAGATACGTGCAAAATTAAAGTTTATAATTTCACTGCTGATAGTATCAGCTGCACATTTTCAAATAAATAGTCCACATTTTAAAGTTAATAGTGAAAAGACAATTCAGAGCAAAGGCTATAGAATGAATTCACTGAAATAGTAGAAGGAAAATATACCCAAATACTTAATTGTGTCTGTCTAGGTGATTATACAGGGGTTGTAAGTGTTCAGATAAAGACTGAATAAGCAACTTTATTTGTCAGAGGCAGAGCAGAGAGTATTTTCTTCACTGACTAGCTGGGGACTTCCAAGGCTTTCAACTGCTGACTACAATGGTGATGAAATGCTACTTGCCACTGTTCCAATGGCACACAGCACTCCACCTTGCTTCAAAGAAAGGCTAGATGGTGGAACACAAGTATAAAAATACAGTAAGTAGTAACTTCAAGATAAATGGTGGCAATTGAATGGGATTCTATTATCTTTGGTCCTTTAGTGAAAGGACCTCTTCTTAGCCCTTTTTACTGTATTTACTGGTTTCTTCCCAACATCTGAACTAAACGTTAGTCTAGGAGAGTCACACTTTGTTGTTGTTGCTGCTAGTTTTTAAATTGTGTGTATGGGTGTGTGTGTGTATGTCCATGTGTGTGTCTGTGTGTTGCTAAAGGATACATAGTAGACAAACAACTTACATTATTTGTAACATCAGCCCCCAAATCATAGGGTTTTCTTTTAGTGGTCTAAATGAAAGTAAAATTAGTTTAGTTCTTTAAAAATATTTTTATTCTAATTACAGTCAGCTGATAATTCCTGCAGTTATTTAAACTGATTAACTGATTGTTTTTACTATAGCTTCAACAATAATACATTTTAAAACTTTTTAAATTCAATGAACAAAAATATCCCATTTTAAAATAACATTATCAATAACTATCTTCCTACTGAGAAAACCAATAAAATAATTTTTAAAAATCTCAATTAGAGCTTCTCTCCTGTCTCTAGATTAAGGCAGTTATCCCTCCATGGGAGATGTGTTCGCAAGGTCCTTTTGTGCACCAGGGATACATCCTGGCTCCCTACTTCACATGACCTGTCAGATCTACATGACCCTAACTGGATGGCATTCCCCTACATATGGAATTGGGGTGGGGGATGGGAGGGGAGGGTGGTTAGAGTGCATGTGAGAGGGCAGAGAGGGTAAAAGGGAGGGAAGGAGGGAAGGAGGGAGGGAGGGAGGGAAGAAGAGGGAACTGGGATCGACATGTAAAATGATAAATTAAATAAAAAAAAATGCGTTGACTCCAAAATTTAAGTTCAAGGACAAGTTACTGGGGAAAAGGATTTCTATTTTTGTTTCCACAGAAAATAAGAAAAAAAAATCTCAATTAGATCAATCAGTAAGAAATGACTATTATAAAGTAACATTTGTTCATATTTATATATCTCGTCTGTGTGCATTTTTAAGGATTTTAAAAACATTTATTTATTGTATGTGTGTGAGTATTTCACCTGCATTATATGTCTGGACACAATGTCCATGCAGTGCCCAAAAGACAGATGAAGGTGATGGATCCCCTAGAATTGGAGTTGCAGATGGTTGTGAGCTAGCTACCATGTGCATGCTGGGAACAGAACCCAGGTCCTCTGCAGTAATAGCAAGTGGCTTAAACCCCTGAGCCATCTCTCAAGTCCCTTTTCTATGTATTCATCTAACCTTCAGTCAATTATACATATGGTTAAGTATGGTCACTTTATATCATTTAGTATTTTTTTTATTCCTAAAACTTAATTTAAGAACATTATCTTTAGCTGGGGTGTGGCTCACAACTATAATCCCAGCATTTTAATGGTAGGGATAGGAGGCTCAGGAGGTTGAGTCATCCTTGGGTATATAAGGAGTTCAGGACAGTTTAGGATACATTAAATCCTGTTTCAAAAAGTTTCAAAGTCATTTTAATTACTGCCTTATATTCCAAGGTTTATATATACAATGATTTATATTTCCTGTCTTGTCTTTTAGAGTGTTTTTCCTTTTCTTTTATTTCCTCTTGAACTAGGAATGTAATCAAGGGCATGTTGGTAAGTGCCCTACCACTGACACACTTTTTGAACATTTAGAATATGTCAAACAGTGTTTCAAACTGCTACACATAAAATGTGTCAATGATTTGCCCATTTCCTTCTCAGATTTCTAGAGGAGAAAGCACTAGTCTAAAGAACACAAGTATCTTTCTTGTTTATGAGGGATCTTGCCAAAGTATTTTCCAAAACACCCTGTTCTGCAGTAGTACACAGCTGTGGTCATTTTTTTCTTCTTAATTTGGTCATTAATAAGCAAAATCCAGTATCTTCCTTAGCAATTATGATTTAAAATTTTGTTTTATTTTCTGAAAATTTCTAAATGTTATTTTGTAATAGATTCTGGTATTTTCTATTATTTTATTTATTTATTTATTGAGACAGGGGTTAACTGTATAGCTCTAGGTGGCCTGGAAACTTGCCATGTAAACCAGCCTGTCCTCAAACACACAGAGTTTCTCCAGATTCAGCTTCCCAAGTGCTATCATTAACAGTGTGAGCCACCAGGCCCAGCTCTGCTATTAATAGGAGATATTTAGTAGAATCCTGTTTCGCATGGATCCATAGCTCTATATGTGTTCAATGTGTGAAACTGAGACATAACTGCTGTAACAATCAGAATTCTTACCCACAGCATTTGAGCTAAAGCAGTTCTTCCACACCAAGCAGCTACATACTTATTTATCTACATTTCTGGTTTCATCACTTGCATTTCTTAACTCTACCTACAAACTAGTCAGTATTTCAACATTATCTGAAGAGTAGTACCCCATATCAAAAATACTGGTTCACACTAACAAAATTATGGAAGTATTAGTTAATTTTAAAACGGTTTCCAGAAAGCAAAATTAATTACTATTGTCTCTATCTCTACTTCCAAGTAATATTTTACAAAGTAAAAATATCAATATTTTTAAAAACAAAATAAAATGGGGAGGGGGGGAAGATGGCAATGGGGCAGGAGGTCCACTTTGGCTTAAAAATCCAAATTAGTAAATATTTACGAGTACTGACTACTATAGTTGGTCTTGATGATCGTTTTGGTCGATGATTAAGTAGTATATCAACAGCTCCCACTACTTCAGAGTCGATTGCCACCAAAAGTGCATCTGCGGACTTTAAAAAAATAAAAGTTACAATGAAAATGGAAGATAAAAATGGAAATGAGTTTTACTAATGCATGGTTATTTTAAAATTCTTCACACTGTATTATATACAGTAATATTGAATTAAAAAATTTTTATATTGTCCATGTAGTACATTTGCTTGTCAAAATCAGTAGTACTTCTATGTACCACAACATAAACATTTCTGTTCTGGTTTCAATGAACAACCTGGTAAAATAATGACTATTTCATAGAAGGGATTCTATATGGAACAGTGCTGATCCATGCAATGTTTAAAGCTACAAAACAAAAATAAAACCTTCAAGATGTTTTCTCTTGAACCATGGACCAAAAATTTCTTAATGTTCCCAATTTATTTTAAGAAATTACCAGGAACTATCAAGTAAAGGAATATATTGGATGTAATATTATCAGTGTAATTCTGAGAAGACGGGAGAATGGAAAAAATATACAAAAGCCCTCTTAAAAACCTACATGGCCGATAGAAATGGTACAGTTTGAATTGGGTATCAACATTCTTGTCAAATATAAATCACAAAGAACCCAGGTACTGAAGTTGGTAGAGTCAGGAAGGAGTTTACATTTCCAGTCCTAACTACAGTAGAGCTCTATCTACTTCTGAGCAGAGGTGGACCTAACAGACGCAGGGCTCAGGGGTTCTGTACTCTCTATAACAAAGTCTACGTGCTACTGGCAAACATGATGCCAAGTTTTAGTTTCTTTGCTTTTTTTTTTTTTTTTTTAAAGAAAAATCATAATGGCAGAAGGAAAACATAGTAATGAGTGGTGATTTAATCTAAGAAAATGTCATGATTATTTTCAATCTGTACACTTTTAACTTACATAACCTTTACTATTTTAAATGTCAACGTTCTTGCCCCAGGAATGAAACTAAAACAGATCTGTAGTATTCTTTGTAGCTGTAGAGAATAAAGCTTTTACTTTCCTTATGTGAATATAAAAAATAAGGCTAAAAATAGCAGGCTTTAGTGGGATATTTGACAACCCAAAGAAAGGGCTGGAATTCTTACTAAACTCTTAGGAGTCACCTCTGTTTTCGTTCAGGAAAAGCTTCCTTGCTAGATAAGAAATTTAATCATTTGAAAATTTTAGATTCATTAGATATAGCCCTAAAAAGTGCAAGCATTTTTTTTCTTTTTTAGCTTCATGTTTCTCTTCAGCTTTATCATATTCAATCAGTTGAAGCGAACAAACTTTTAAAAAACAAGAACCGAGTATTCATTATTACTAGGTATTTTATCTAGAGTTTTAATTTTAACCAATAAAGCTAACTATAGTAATGCCACCACTCTCAAACAGCATGCAATTCCAATAATCTAAAACGTAGCCACTAATTTATTTACAACTCAAAACAATAACAACACCAAAACCAAAACCAAAACAAAACCAAGTCACAGAGTAACACCATGGGCATTGTTTCTCAGAAGAGACAGGCCTAAGCACACTGACTTAAGATTTGTCCTTAAGTCAAGGGCAGTGGCTTTCCCAAGCATTCCTCAGATCTTTACTGAATAAAAGAGCTAGAGTAAAACCAATGCAAGTGGGGAAAAGAAGAAAAAACTAAAAGTTACACAGAAAGAATAAATGCCAATAGAACAAAAATCACTGTCAGAACACAGCAGTCTGCAGACTTTAATGTAAGAACAAATTATTAATAGTTTGGAACCTCATGAAGCCAAGTAAAATCATTACATTCTCAAGAACTCCAACTAATAATGGTAAAGTTAAATTATATTCAGATATACTACTCAGTAAAGAATAAAGATGTTTGTTAATATTCAGTGCTTAAAAGGATAAGCTTCAGCTATGAAGAGTATTTAAATTTGAATTAAAGAGTGGCTATTGATTCATTCTATACAAACAGTATGTTATTTGATAAATAAGTGGCAGTTCTGAAGGACAAATATTTTATGTTTAAAAAATATAACTTATTTGAGACAGTCTAAAAGCCAGACTGGCCTTGAACTTGTGTTTCTCTTTCCTCAGCCTCCAAAGCCTTGGTGATGGTAGGTGTGTGCCACCACGCCTAGTTTAAAGTATTCTCAAATACTTGCAAGCATACAAAATATCCTCACTTAGTTTTATTTCCCAATTTCTAAGTAATCTGACCATTTCCACTAAAACATATTCAGCACATACACTTACTATATATTTGAAGCCACTTAATTCTCCTAAACCTTCTACACTTGGTGAGAAGATACTTATATTTCCTTTCTAGACCTAATTATTATTAATACTCTAAAATATTCTATAAAAACTTGGTCTTTCATCCAAAGGAGTATTAATCCTACACTCTACAACTTTAAATTCTTCTCTTTTTGTTAATTTAACTTGATCTTATCTTTCTATTGACACTAAATGTTCTCTTTTTTATTTCATTGTTTAAAATCTCAAAGTAAGGTACGCATCATGTTCCCTAATCAGTACCATACTTTTAAAGCCCAGTGACTTTTCCTCTCTCCTCTTGTGTGTTTATTTCTAAGCAAGAAATTAAATTAAAATTTCCCTTTTGGCTTTTACACCACCATTCTAGCTGACCCAAAATTGTGAATAATTCATTTGATCTTTGAAAATGCAACTCTTTTCTTCCTGTGCTCTTTATTAAATGTAAAAACTCTGTAAGAGTAAATATGTGCTAGCTCTATGCTCTGTGATTTCTGCCCCTGTGAAGATATATAGAGCCATTTTCCTGCTAGCTCTATGCTCTGTGATTTCTGCCTCTGTGAAGATATATAGAGCCATTTTCCTGCTAGCTCTATGCTCTGTGATTTCTGCCTCTGTGAAGATATATAGAGCCATTTTCCTGCTTATGATGCCTAGACTACCTTGACCCTTGTCAGACAACCCCATCCTTTATATCAAGCCCACCCTGTCCTCCGAGCCTGCCAGTTTTCTTTCCTAGTCCCTAGGTATACTTAAGGTTGATAAAAACTCCTCAATTCCCTTTCTTGGCAGCTTCTGTATCTGTACCCCTCCTCATACCCTCACACACACCCTTGCAAGGCAAGGGTTTTACCAGAAGCTAAACCCCAGCTCCTCCCCGCTTCTTACAGCCGCGGTCACTCTTACAGCCAGTGTTCCAGTTCAGACCTTAATATTCATACCCAAATTAATACAAAGACTGCTCACATGGGCTATCCCCTTCCCTTCTTCCCCAGTCTTGCCTAAACTTGATCACTATATTCATCTATCTAAAGTACCACAAGACATACACCATACTTTCTACAAAAATGCATTGAATGATACCTTACTATCATATGAAACGCAAATTCTAAGCCTCCCATTTAAGGCCCTTTTCACCAGTTTTTTTTTTTTTTTTTTTTTTTTTTTTAGTTATTTGCCTTGAGCATTCCCATTATAATACAAGCCCAGTATTTTATTCTAAAGGCTGTGAATTTACTGTCTCAAGAAACACATTTCACATATCCGCTTACATTCTTCACTGCACCCCCTGTCCCTTAGCTGCTTCTGAGTTCTTGAGTAGACATGGGTAACAGGAAGAACATGGACTCTAGAGCCAGATCCCAAGTTTGCCATTTACAGAATGAATCTGGGCAAGTTACTTAATCTTTTGAAGATCAGGAAGTCAAGTTCACTGGCACAACGCAGCACAATATAAGTGTTAACATTCCTTTTTATATTTTTAAGTTAATTTTATGTGAGTGTTTTGTCTGCACATATGTCTGTACACCACATGTGTGTGTGGTGCCTGTAAAGGCCAGAAAGGGATGTTGGATCCCCTGGAACTAGAGTTGCCTACAGATGTTGTGAGTCACCATGTGGCTGTCAGGAACAGAACCAAGGTCCTCTGCAAGAGAAACAGGTGCTCCTAACCAGTGAGATGTCTCTCCAGCCCAGTATTAACATTTCAAGGCTGAGCTCAATAGACACTCACTCTTTCAGTGAAATCTTTCTTAAAACTTTTAAAAGAAAGTGGTGGTGATGGATGCTTTTAACCCTAGCACTTGGGAGGCAGAGGCAGGAGAATATCTGAGTTGAAGGCCAGCCTGGTCTATAGAGTAAGTTCCAAGCCAGGGCTACACAGAGAAACCCTGCCTGAAAAAAAACCAAACAAAGATACATTTTAATTAAATGGATGGTGAGCAGTATATGCATGTGAAAGCAAGTGCCTGTGGAGGTCAAAGGTGCCAGTGCCTCCTGGAGCTGGAGTTGTGCATTATTTGATGTAGGTACTAAGAACAGAACTGGGGTCTTCTGCAAGAGCAGCGCAAGCTCTTAACCATTTAACCATCTCTCCAGCTTCAGCACATTACAAAAAAAAAAAAAAAAAAAAGCCCCCCCCCATGCTAGGGATCAAATAATGGTCTTATTCTTTTTTTATGTTGCTAAAATATTTATGTTGATTTTCAAAAAGTCTAAGTATAAATAGGGCTTCTCGAAAGCAGCTCTATTGACATTTTGGGTCACGTATTGTTTTGGTGTTGTAGTACCTTTCCTGTGTAATGTAGGATGTTTAGTAACAACTACAGCATCTGCACACTAGATACCAACAGTAATCTGCCCACCAACTGTGAAACGAAAATGTCTCCAGATACTGCCAAATATCCCTTGGTGCAGACAACGTTTTTTTTTTGGGAATCACTAATATAATCCAAGATAAAATAAGAAGCATTTTGTAACTGTAAAGCAATATGCAAGCATCAAGCATTGCTACCACCCGGCACTTGTCAAATACAGCCTTATATTTAAATTTTTTTGTAATCCATATGTGCTTTAGCTGTCTCCATTCATTTGATATTCACTGGTGAATAAGTGTATTTTCCTTACTCATTTCTACCACCACACCCAGGTAAAGGTCTTGGATACTTCTTGACTGACAGAATGAGACACAGATAATTTGGACAGAATACAGAGAACTAGAAAGAGAATGGGGTTTGCAGCCAAAAGATTAAATTCAAACATTAGCTTGCCTTTACTAATTTTACATCTCTGGGCAATTCATTAAAGTCTGTGAGCCTCAGTTTTCTGATCTATAAAATACAGAATGTAGATAGTAATGCTCAAAAGTACTCAAAGCACCATGGTACTGCCAAATTATTATGTATATAAAACCATGTATGGAAATGCAGTTATTATACATAGCATTTCTTATCAAAAATCAGCAAGGATTGGATTTCTTTATAACCTTATTTTCTAGGTAACTGAAGCTTATGCCTTTAAGTGTTTAACTTTAAATCTTAAATAATTTTGATGAAAGTTTTATGCTTACATCTAAGGTGTTAGGTAGTGAATATAATTTAACTTTTCCTTATTGACGCTAACTCACTGATATAAAGCTTAGCCACCAGGCAGACATGCAGTGCTAACAATCTAATTAGACAGTGTGAGTGGTTCCATGCCTCATTGTGCCCAGCTGCAGCTCTAATGCCCCCTTTATGGCCTTTCTTTATTCTCTTCAGATCAGACCAGAAAACTAAAAATTTAAGTTTGTTAAAATAAAGTCTAAAATGAGAAAAAGTAGACTTTGAAGAAGTGTTCTACAACTAAAAATAACTTAGAAACTTCATGGAAATTACTCTGGCAGCTCAGAAGCTAATCTCATTTGGTTTCTTGCTGTAGTCTAGATAGCTAAAATGGCTGGGTACCCAATTCCCTTATCTACCCTAAGTGTGTGTGTGTGTGTACTTATATATACACATAAATCACTCATGATACCACATTATAATATAATGAATACGGATGTACCAAAAACCATCTACCACACTACTATTACTACTACTACTAATAATAATAATTGCTGTATTTCCTAATGTCACTGCAAAAGCTATGCCTCATCAAGGCTGCAAAGGAAGAGCCAGATTTCCTATGCGATGTTTATCATGCGTGAACCAGGAGGGAAAAGAAATGATGCTTTTATTAACTTACACCTTCAAAATGTATATGCATGCCTGCTTTTCTACCTTAAGTGATACAAAGACGAATGGAAAGTTCTGTCCATTCCAATTTTAAAACAATCATTTATCTTTAGATGAAAACAAACACTAAATTTCAAAGAAAAGGAAAACATAATGAAACTTAGGAGAAACCAAATTGAACTGTAAGTTGTTTTGTAAGGAACATTTTGTTCATGTGCCTATAAATAATACCAGTCACAGAAAACCCTGTCCCCTGGCACTTCTGGAACACTTGCGCTATTTTTAGGTATATAATACAAATAGTAATTCTATCAGTAACAAAAACAATGCCATCTTTAATAATTCATGATAGTTTACTTTCATCTGATTTGGGAAAAGGAAACAGGAAGAAAAACACAAATAAATTTAAAATATTACATTTTTTAAATAGCTCATTTGGGTTTGTTCTGTAAACTTTTTATAGCTTAAAACCAGATAGAAGATGAAAGGCAAAGGAAGAGAGAGTAAACAAAGGAAAGAAAAAGAAGGTGAGCTAGAGGGACAGATGGAAGCATGGCATAGCTAACATTTCTTAGAAGCTACTGGATAAAATCATCTAGCCTTGTACCTGACAACCGTAGTCCAAAAGCAGCTGCAGTATATCCAAGCTTTCGTTTTCAATAGTTATGGTAACAGCATTTCTCCCAAGCACATCTACGCAATTTATGTTCAAGTCACCTGAACTGTTTTCCTCCAAAATCTTTTTAACCATATAATAGTCACCTAAATAACAATATACAAACATACTTTAATATTTAAGACATTAAACAAGAATGAGTATAAAGAAAAATTTATCCTGCTGAATTAAAAGATTAAAAATACCTAAACTCATTTTTGCTTTGCATGTGGACATGTGCACAGAAAATGTGAACATTTCCTGGAAAAAAAGTATATCTTAATAAAACAATAACACATATAAGCAGTAAATATAAAACACAACTAGAAAAAATAAATGTGTAGCACATAATAAAAATTTCTAGTTTTAAATTCTTAACCTGATGTTATAAGAAAAACTCATAGAAGATATGTAAAACAATTTAATAAAGAATACCCCTAAATACAAACTGACAGCTATTGTAGAAAAATAAAATGAAACTTAGAAGGAATTGGCTTGGATCTCAGACACACACACATTTACTCATGCATCATATTGGTTAAAATGGAGTCTGGGATAGAGGATATTAGAAAGAGGGGAAAGCATACTTTTAAAAAGTAATAAGAGTTTGACAGTGTGAATAGTAAGGGTACATAAAAGGTCTTACTCCTCCCCCACTTTCTCTCACACACACATGCACATACATGCGTGAACACCCCATCTTGTTAAGGAAGATGAAGTATAGTGTTAATAAACAGGGAACATCCAGCCATTGGGGCTAGAATGACCGCTTGGCCTATTAGGAGCAAGCAGGCTATGGTCTGCCTGACTGAAGGCCACCCTAGATGGTCATTCCATGTGAGGGAAATGGGAATTACTGTCACCAAAGGCACAGTATATTTGCCTGCTAGTGACATTGTGCAGGAGAAAAGAGAAATAAAAATCCAAAGGGAAATGACCATTAGAGAAAGAAAGCAAGGGGATACTTGTTTCATTTTACTTTTAAAGTACAAAATAAACAAACACTTTTACAATTATTCCTTAGATGTCTGTGAGGAAGAAATAGGGAAAGAATAATCAGAGTGAAAACTGGAAAGAGAAAAGAAATAATTTCATGGTGCACACAGAGAAAACATTAAATTAGACTGAATAAGAAAAACTATATTGCAACTAAAGTAGCAGATTTTATTTATGAAAATTTCAAACTTCCTATTATTTTAATAACTGCTTACATCTTTTAAAGAAAGAAATTGAATAATATTTTCTTAATAATACATCTCCTATGTCTCAAGAATAAAAAAACTAGTCATGAAATCATTTCCCCATAGCACTAATTAACATTTAAAGTCCACTGATAAAATGATATTCTTAGTCTCGAGCTGTGCCAAGAGGGTCAAGTAATTCACTCAAATGGCATCACTATTACAATTTTTTTTCAAACTATTTCAGACAAATCTACTTTTAGGCATAGGGATAAGAAAATACTACTCATGGGCTAGAGGAATGGCTCAGCCATGAAAGGCTAGGTTCACAACCAAAAATATAAGAAAATGCTACTCATAAAACTCCACTTTGCTATTCTGGTATATCTAGGTGAGGATCATTCATTTTAATTCACCTTTTTGGAACTCAATAGGCTTTCTAAATCTAAGGCCATTGCACTTCATTAATTCTGCAATATCATCAGCCATTACTTCTTAAATATAGCTTCATTACTAAACTTTATATCTGCAAGTCATTTAAAGTTATATGCCGTAAAGACTAAAACAGTTGTTAACTTTGAGGATGAAGGCATATGTGAAAGGGGTTAGAAAACTTACACAGGAAGTTAGCTAAAGGCCCAGACTCGAGTTAAAATGCCTGTTATGCCAGATAATGTTTTCCTTTCACAGTGAATTGCTTGCAAGTCATCTCTTGTCTTTCGAAAAGCAATATAATTGCTTACTTTTTGATGATATAGTTGTTTTTAAAATTTATTTTTAATTGTGTGTGTGTGTGTGCGTGCGTGCGTGCGTGCGTGCGTGCGTGTGTGTGTGTGTGTGTGTGTGTGTGTGTGTGTGTGTGTGTGTGAAATGTGGAGGCTAGAGGTCCAGGTTGGGTGTCGTCCTCTATTGCTATCTACTCCCCACAATCCCCAGACAGGTCTCTCCCTAAACTCAGAGTTCACTGACTGGCTAGACTGGCTGCCACCAAGCTCCAAGGACTGGCTTGCCCAGGGTTACAGACTTCCATCACTCTGCTTTTTATATGAAGGCTCTCTAGCCTCCAACTTTACCTGCCAACCTCAGGCCCCAGTGTCTCTGTTCAACAAATAAAACAGAAATCATTTTCAGTGGGCTCCATAGGTAGTGCACCAATGCAACAGCAAGTCATCTCAGCCAGACCTCTAAGTACCTCCCATACTCCTTCACCCATCCCTGTGAACACAGCCATCCCTCGACCAAACCATTACCATCCTTCTGGACAGTGAAATAGCCTTCTACCTGATAGACCTACTGAAAAAAGATTTTCTCTTTGACTAAATCCTGAGCAAACTACTGTCCCCTTTTCCCCACTACGAGGCTTTGATTTTAGCCCATAAAACTTGCACAAAACATTTCCTTTACCATACTTTCTAATTGCTCTGGGTTTCATCACTAGCATGATCCTCTGCAAATACACCGAGGAAAGTCATGGCTGTTAGTTCATTTGAACACTGAAGACAGGGCCCATGTGAAAAGATAGCCATCTAACAACCGCCTTTAGTGCCAGGTAACAAATCCATACTGGTTCCACAAAAACTCAACCATCTACTTTTTGTACAATTTCCCCAGGTGTTTTGTAACTTTTCCTTTACTTGACTCCTCACTTACTCTCCTTTCTAACCCTTTAAATTAGCTGTCTCTGTACAAAATGAACTTGGATTCAGTTCACACTGGGCTCTTCTCTGTATTATTACACATACAGTGCTTGATCTTGAACACAGGGGTCAAGAAAATAGTTCTGAGAAAGGGTCAGACAGAAAAATATGCTAGGTTTTGTGGACATGATATCTCAGTCACAATTACCCAGACCTTTTGCACCAAAGCAGAGACAGACCACATGGAAACAATTGAGGATGTGTTCCAATAAAACTTTAATTTTTGTGTTTAAAATACAATTCTTTTAATTAAAAATATTTTTAAGTATTTGAAATATAAAATGCAAAAGGCAGTTGTAGCTCACAGGCTTTCCAAAACTATTTGTCTTATGGATCAGTCACCCATGTTCTAGCCCTACCTCTTCAGTACATTCTATAAACTTCAAAGCATATCAGTCTTATGGTTTCCTAACATCCTCGATGGACACAATGTTTACTAAAATTCTAGAAAGCCCACTGGAAATTGGACCAACAAATAAAATAGTATGAAGAATACCAAGGTAATCCCATAGATTCTCAGCAATAAATTTACACTGCCCAACACTGATAAATCCTTAAGAAATATATAGTAGAGGAATGAAGCAATATTAGTTAATAAAGACGATTTCCTCACTGGCTTCTTATTTGACTTTGCAACATATATGATATATTTCTACATTACTAAAATGACAGCATTAATGTTGATCAGTTTTGTTACATGTGGCGGCTCATGCCTGTAAATACAGACCCAGGAAGTAGGAGGCCAGCTTAGGCTACTCACATAACGAATTCCAGGCCAAACTGGACTGGAGACTAAGATTCTGTCTAAAAAAAAACCCCAACCCTCCCCCAACTCCCACAAAAAAGGTGACCAGTTTTTAAATTTTCTATTAACCAAGAAGAACTTGAAGCTAGTTGTGAAGTATGGGAAACTTTTGTGTCAAAAAACATAAATCTTTTCAAACCAAACTTTCTACAAACAAAACAAAAACAAACAAAAAAAACCTTTGGATGTGGAATTATAACATTCTACTTAAAATATTCCCATTTAAGCCAGGTAATGGTGTTCCATGCCTTTAATCCTAGCAGGGAAGCAGAGGCAGGCAAATCTCTAAGTTCTAGGCCAGTCTACAGAGTAAGTTGCAGGACTGCCAGAGCTACACAGAGAAACTCTGCCTTGGAAAAAAATTCTCAATTAATATTAAAAATACATTAAGAGCAAAAAGCTTTGGAACCCAAAGAAATTCTACTGACCTCATAAATAATTGATATGGTACTAGAATCTTTTAGTCCTAATAATTCACTTTGGATTTTAATGTTATCATTTATTGTTTCTAAATAATACTTGATTTTCTCATTACCTATATTAAACTATTACTCCTATTAGACTATTAGACCTCTCAGCATAATTAAATTGGATGGAATCAGTCTGAAGAAGACACTTATAGTACTACAACAGAGCAAGAGGAACTCAAATTGCAACAGTGCTGGTGCACTCAAATGTAATCTTTCAGCTTCTACTACACAATGTACTGAGGTTTCACTTGGATCGTTTGTTTTTAACTTCCCAGGAAAGAGTGCTCTGTACTAAGAATATACTATCTTCCAACTTCCTATGGGCCATTTGAGTTCAATTGAACATTTGCTCAGAGAGATTTGTTATATACACAAACACAAATCATTTTAACCTACTGTTCCTTACTACTGCACAAGAAAACATAGTTATAAAAAAAAATTCCTACAGGACATGGATGTAGTCAGTAACTCATTAATAACAGCTTTTGTCCAATGCCTTAACACAATTAAGAAGTTCATGTGTGTGTTTTGATAGCATGGCAAAGGGCGGTAAATTAAAAATAAGAAAAAGAATCACACCGTGAAAGCACTACGTAGGTCAGTAAGGCAGCCAGCTGCTCAGTCGTCTTCCATTAAAGTAATTGTGAACCACTCCCTATGGCTACACTTCTCAACTAGCACATTCTGAAACTTTGGTGATTTACAAAGATTGCCTGCACAGAATGCATAGGTTCTGTAGCTAGCGATACTTTGTGAGCTGTACAGAATGATGCCTAGTGTAACCTCCATACTCTTGATGTTAGTTATACTCTCATCACTACTACGCTCTGCAAATTATTTTCCTTCACCGTACATATCTTTATATTAGGTGCTGCCTATCAACACAAAACTTCTCAGCAATAGTCTGTACTCTGTTTTTTATTATCAAAGCACTCTTCTCCCTAACCTCACATC